TTGCTTTGTTTTTTTTTAAGGGATTTAAATGCTTTTTCGAATTCATGAAAAGTTAGCTCAGAATATAATTCGTTGGAACTAATGCAATTATCCATCTGTACAAGAAAATCGTTAAATGTTGCTTTGGTATAAGGAAATTTATTTGCTAGTTTAGACCCGATGTCAGTGAAGAATTTGTTAAACTCATGAGCCTTTGGTTCGCATATGCGTTTGTTATCCACTATAACCATCTGGGGAAGAGAACCTGAACATTTTTTTTGTCTGCGAGTAATTTCGTTCATTATTTGCCAATTGCGTTTTGTGTTATTTTTGAATTTATCTAGGAGTCTTGTGTAATAATTTTTTTTCAAGTTTTTACGAACTTTTTCAAAGAGATATTTGTAATTTTTATATATTTTCTCATTATCTGATGATTTTGTTTTAAGATATTTTATATACAGCTTCTGTTTAACTTGGATGATTTTTTAAATACTTTTGTTATCCAAGGGTTATTTTTATTTTTTGGAGTTATTGTCTTTTCAATAATAGGAAAGTTTGCGTCATAAACGGAGTAAAAGGGTTCAAAAAAGTTATCTTAAATTTTGTCTGCATTGTCATTGAAGTTAATATGCTTCCAGTGCAGTAACGATAGTTGGTTTTTAAACAACTTTATATTTGTATGGTTAAAAATGCGGATTTTAATTTTGTTTATCTTATTTTTAATTTCAGAATTAATTGTCAAAAATATTGGAAAATGGTCAGTTATATCAGATTTTAGGATACCTGTTTGAATATCATTGTTGAATATAACTGTTGTAATAATATTATCAATCAAAGACGCCGAGTTTTTTGTTACTCTAGTTGGCCTGTTTATTAAAGGAATTGCCTCAAAAAAGGAGTCGTAAAAGTTTTTAATTTTGTTATCTTCATTATAAAGAAAACAATTCATATTTAGGTCTCTAATAATGAAGTTCTTTTTATTTTCTTAATACCTTTTTTGAAAATACTTTGTTCAAAAAAAATGCTCAAGTTCTCGCTCACGCCGTCAGGTGGGCGATAGCAAAAGCTTAATAATATGTTTTTAGATTGTTCATAATTTCAATAGTCAAAATTTCTTTATCGCTATCAGTAGGGGGGTCCAAAATTCTATATTTCTTGTTTAACCAGTTATTCTTAATTAATCTTTTGAGAAAAGTTTAATAAACAATTCAGTTGTTGCTAATTTTTTATGGTTGACCTTTTACTTCTATTTTAAAAATTTAAAGAGATAAAAAATAAGTTTTTGCAAAAGTTTCTTTGCGTATAAAGTTACGCAACTTTTCTTTCAAATGTATGCTATTCAAATTTTGATTGGATAAATTTGATTTTTAATCGTTACGTTTTAAAAAAAAAAAATCTTTTTCTAAAAAAACGTTTTAAATAAGTAAAACAACAGATTGCTTCAAAAAAAAAGTTTTATGTGAAGTCTCTTTCTAAACAAAACGTTTTAAGTAATCAAAAAGACAGATTGCTTCAAAATATCTTAATTTCCTTTTTTTTTTTTTTAATCGTTATTCAAGCTATCAAGAAGGCTATTCAAGATTTCATTTTTTATTTGACTTTTCTTTAATGAAGTCAAGAATAAATCTTCTTTTAAAGTGTCAGGCAGTAGAAGTTCAGTTAAATTCTAAAGTTTTAACAATTCTAAAGATAAACAGACTAAAGGAACACCGCTACCTAAAAGGCTTTATAAAAAACAAACTGGGTGATCAAATTTTGAAATTTTCTGCTTTACTCTAAAACGCAGTGAATAGCTAGATGGAAAAAATTCTAGAAGCAGTTAATAAGTACACCTCAAAGAGGTTGAATGATTGTATCATTCTTGCTAGAGTATTTTGGCAAAAGTTAGCCTCAGGATTTCAAAAAAGAGAAAAGCATTATGTGTTTGGTTGATGATGGAATATGATTAGTATTAACTTCCTAATTAAGTTGTTGCAGTTGGAAAGCTTTGGAAAAAAACATTTAATTTCAACAGTAGATGTATACTTAATTATTTAAACCATATAAAAAATGAAGGTTCGCGCAGTTTAAAAATATTTTGGAAAACTGTTGTTCAATTATTTTTCCAAAAAGTTGAAACTATGGAATATAGTTGAAACAAATGGATAACGATGGAAGAGGAGCAAACTTTACATCAGGTGTGCAAGATGAGTTTTATTTTATGAGCTTGATTAAAGTTACAAGGCTGCCCATTTAGCTGTGAACTAGACATTATTGAAGTAGATAAAGATATGTTATGATGAAAAAAAAGTTCGGAAAATGAGGTTCTTTATTTTAGGGATACAATGTATATAAAAGTTCGAAGTACTATCTATGTTATTTGAAACCCAGGTTTCACTTAAACAAACTATGTTAAAATGATTTTTTGTTTCCTCTAACAAGTTTAAAATTTTTTTAAAATTGTTATTAAAACTTCGAATGTTTACGTGTAGTATCATAATTTTATTTAAACATTTGTCATAACATTTTTAAAAAGAAACCCTTCTAAATCGTTTCGAAAGTGATGTGAGCAACCCGTAAGCGCCTCGTAGGAATAGTTTATATCGGGGTCTATATTTACATCATTTATTTCATTAAAGTTAAAACGCATGGATTCAAAGTCACTGATTCCAGCCATGCTTTTTTTTAAATATAATTTTATTTGAGCATTTACTTTTAGAAAGGCTTCTTTTTAGGACTTAAAGTTAGGGATGGGATTTTTAAATTCTCTACAAAAAATTTTATCATACTTGATAATGGCGTACTTTCCTTCACCGCGTAGACGTTTGACTTCTTCCCACAACTTTTTGCGACTCTCGATAGTTTCCTTTGCGAAATCTTCGTTGATGGATACACCAGTACCTTTCAAGTTTTTAACGGCGTTAAGAATCTTGTTCTTGTCTTGATAATTTAAAAGTTTCAGAACTATAGTTCAGGTATTTTACTATCTTTTGTTTTGCCTACTCTATGTGCTCTTTCTACAACAACTTCGCTATTTATTTTTCGTTGATTTTTGAAAATATCTTTAACTGTATCCTCGCATTCAGTCCAGGTTTCATCTGCTTTTTCTTATACTCCATCTATTCGCAGATTCTTTCGTCAAGATCTGTTTTCGAGATCGATTGTTTTTTTGGTCAAAATATTTAGTTCGTTGTCATAACACTTTCTAATTTGTTTTATTTTATCTATAAGGTTTGTTTCTTGGAAGTTTAGTGTTGTGTTGACATCGTTCAGATCTTTTTCGATATTCATAATGTTGGATTTATTATCTGTTACATATAATTCAATTTTCTCTATTCTTTCCGTTAATATTTTCAAGTTTGCACTCATAATCGACGCGAAGCCTTTTTCTTGTTCTTTCAACAACTTTTCTGTTTCTTGTAATATACATATTTTTGTTCCTCCAACTTCTTATTTAATTTTAAAAATTAAAAAAAAAAATTTAAATTAATTTTTCTATATTTTTAAATGAGATTTCCATGTTTAATTTAAAATTTAACACGCTGTAGAAAAAACGCGTCTGTTTGCTTCAACACGCTGCTTGAAAAAGATTCTCACCAAATATTGCTCCTAAAAACTTTGTATGATTTACCCGATTAGTTTAAATTGGTTAAAAAAAAACACTTTAAATTTTAAAGTAAAACAAAAATTCAATAAAGCAAAACTTAGTGTAAAAAATTAAAAACATAAAAATATTAAAACAAATAAGAAAAAAAAAAGAAGAAAAAAGAAAAACTTATTTTTTCACAATTAAATGATAATAGCCATTGATTAAAACCATTGATTAAAGTCATTGATTAAAACCATTGATTTAAGCTTTCTGAGAGCTACCACAAAATTTGAAAAAACTTCGGCCGAGCATCTAGCCCAATATTCGGTATTTGGTTTTTAAAAAATCTCTGTTTCGTAGCTTTCGTGTACTATTGTTTTATTTTTAATTAGGTCTTGTCACAGCACGCAATATTTGTTGAGTGTTACTTCAAATTGTTTTAACTATAGTAATATATAAAAGTATTCTTGAAACAATTCAAAAAGATTACAAAAATTAACAGCTCAGGTATATCTTGCATTACTGAGGTAAACTCAGAAGTTGCTATAGGTAGATATAGCACAAAGAACCCTAAGCTTATTAAAAATGAAACTCTTCACTAGAGCCTAAATTCAGGCTGTAGTGAAGTAGCTTCATGAAGCTTAAACATGGTTTAACTTTAATGAGATTGCCAATTATACAGTTGCCTATTTTATTGATGTACGTTCTGAACTAATTTCCTTAATTTAATGAATTACTTAAAACACATTACCGAAAATAAAGTTTAAATGCGCTGAGACAGAATCTGCTAAAACTTTCTTTTTTTTCTTCTTGTGGTAGTGTACATAAAGATGGCTATTTTTTGAAGTATGTATAATTTGAGAAAAAGGGCGATCATTTGCTATTATCAAACTAAAAATGTTTTTATCATAACTTACCACCTATAGATCAAATATAATTTTTACTTACCACCTAAGTAAATTTTTACTTACCACCAAATAAAATATCAGCTAATTATTTGTTAAAATAAAAAAAATAGTTAACAATTTTTTATGCGTTTTTTTTTTTCGACCGAATAGTTTCCAATATTCAGCCGAATACCGAATAGTAAAAAAAGTAGCCGAATATCGACCAAATATACATGAAATCTATATTCTGCCATCTCTATTAAAAACTATTCAATCCATTTTTAGCTGAGTAATTCACTTCGACTACTGCTCTCTAATTATATTTCAAAACCTCCCATTGCTAGAACGCAAAGCTTCCGTTTTGAGCCAAAGCTAAATAACTTTAAGGTGATATCATTACTAGTAATATATTTTAAAAATCTAAAAACATTTAATAAATCTTTTTAGAATTCAATTTTTAAGAAAATTCATTTAACATCGAATCAAAATACAACAAATCCAAAACAAGAATTACAAATACTAAAACTAAAGATATTTTTTTAAGAACACGAAAAAAACAACACGACTTTTTATTGTTTCTCAATATATTATACTTTTACTAAGTAACTTATAGTTGTCTTAAACTTTTGATAATACCCCCCCGCAGTAGTTACAAATATCCCCCGCAGTAGTTACAAATATCTTTGAATTAGTTTCCAATAAAAATCCTAGTAAAAGTTTCTAATATCCTTCAATAAGCAGTTTCAAATATTATCAACAATAAACAACATTTGTCTTTTCTTCAACAGGCAAAAACTGTACTAACAAATCTCGGATGAATTGATCAGGGGGTACAACCATTTCCGATAATAAACCTTTAAATAAAAATTAAAAAGGCTTGAAATAAATCAACAAAAAAAGAAATTGAAATAAATTAACAAATTAAAAAATAAGAACATGCATGATTCTCACGTTGTGTTTTATATTTATGCTTCTCATGAACAATTAATTATTTTAACAATTAATTTATATTAATTATTTTATATAATAATTAAAAAAAGTTTTAATTTTGAGAATTTTTTCTGATGAACAAGCAAAATTTTGCTCAGGCTCTCTAGTGTCTAGACAAGCGCTCTACTGTCTAAACAGGTACTAATAAAGCATGTACTAATATTTTGTCATAATAAAGCAAAACAACCGCTTTCAAAAATACAACATTAGCAAAATACAACTTTGTAAAAAAGTTGTCACGCGAGGCTTTAAAATACATAAAATTTCAACTTCAACAATAATGAGGCCTTAGTCAATACATAGCTAAAATCTTTATTTTTTCGATGCTAGGTGTAACATTCATTACACTATCTGTTATTTACATTATTTAATATTACCTGCAACATCACAATATTCAGCAAACGATTCACATAACAGAATGTCTTCTTCGTAGAACTTTATAATCTAGCAATTATTAAAAAAAAAAAATGGATAAAACAAAACGTTTTACTTAAAATACATTTTAGCATGACAAGAAATGAAAAATAACACACGTTGTCACACTCTTTCAATATTTGTTCATCATTGTTTCTCAGGTACGACGACATTGCCTGCGACCAATCATCGGTTATTGATATCTTAGACTAAAGTAAAATTTTACAACGTTCAGCTAATGAAATATTAAAAAAAAAATGTTTCAGAATATATATTTAATTTTAGTTACCTTGCACAAATTATGCAGCCTATCAATTAAAGAGAAAAAAACAAGATATGGCTTATAAACTGAAAATGCACTGGGTTCAATACACATCAGCCTAAATTAAGCAAAAACACATAAAATAAATTTGTAACCATTGTAATTTTATAGCAAACCTTAGAATATAGGATTAAGTAAATATAAAAGCTTATGTTTTAATATAAATATAAAGCTTATATTTTACGTAAATTATACCTAAGAGGTTCACTTTTGGCCTAACATCAATAAAAAGGTAAAAGATGAACTTGTGAATTAATCAAAATCAGAATCACACTTTTAATATGCGTATATTGCTAACACAAAAAGGCTTTTTTTACCAATCATTTTTGTTTATAAAATTAAAACTTACTAATATTATTGGCAAGCAAATATTAGCAATAACTGTTTGTAATTGTTTCAATAATAATGAAATAAACTTATAAAATATATTTATCTTTTTTAAAAGTATTTAATAATAATAAAAATAATTATTAAATAGAATAAAATTTCTGTTTGTAAACAATAACTTTTAATTGTAGTAGTATTTGTAGCAGTAAATCTGAGTCCTCTTCTTTACGTCTTCTTGGATTATCATTTACTACTGACCTTTCATAAAAACCATATATACAACTGCTAAATTAGAATCTGCTAAGGTTGTTTCTCTTTATCGTGCTCGCCATTTTATCTCTCCTAATTTCATTCTCTACCTATACAAATCTCTAAATTTAATTAAATTTTTTAGTGTAAAAAATTAAAAGCATAAAAATATTAAACTTGCCCAGAGGTGGGGTTTGATAGTGGACCCTTTTTTTCTGAGGCAAGTGCGCTACCAATATGCCACGACTGTCCTATTCGCCCCTGTATGGAACACTGTTGTCATATTTGGGCTGATTCTTTAATGATGCTCTTTCTCTTCAAGACAAAGTCCAAAAACGCATTGTAAACGTAGTCGGTCTATCTGCTAAGCTTGAGCCTCTTTCCCATCGTCATAATGTTGCATCTCTTTCTCTTTTCTACAAATACTGCCATGGTTGCTGCTCAAAGGAGCTATCATCTCTAATTCCATCAACTAAAACCCATTCTTGCTTGACTCGTCATTCATTAAAGCCTCATTTTTTTACTGAATCTGTCCCTCCATGCTCAAAAAACTTTTATTTGTCTAGTTTTTTCCCCGCACTTCAACTCTTTGGAACTCTCTCTCATCATCATGTTTTCCTGACTCACAACAACCTTCAACTTTTTAAGTCTTCTGTCAACCGTTTCTTTACTTTATAACTATATTATTTTTTCCTAATAACTCCCAACTTAATGTGGTTGCTTGCAGCTTTGTTAAGAGTGAATCAGAAAAAAAAAATTAATGTACAGAATTATTCAGTTACTGCAGAATTAGGAGTTGATAAAAAGCTGAAAAGGTCATATTTCATCCTATATAAACTATTTTGTATTAAAGTATATCAAACTATAGACAATATCTTGTATAAAACTCCAACTCGTTCAGTTATATCTTTATATATAATCAGTTTCTAATATGTGAAGCTTCTGGTTGCAAATGATAAAACAACTTATTTTTAAAGAAAAAAAAAATTTACTATTGATATCTAATTTTGACATATAACAAAAAAATCTTTAAAACTGAAAACATTTTCATAATTGTTTTTCTACCAAACATCAGATATCAAAATAACATCGTGTTGATGTCAACTTAAAAATCGAAACATAAAATGTAAATTACATAAACAATGCAATCTTCAAGTCGGATAATAGTAGTATACCAGTCAGTAGGGTTGGGGTCAAACACATTTGATTAAATACAAATACGTTAATTCTAGATTTCCAAATACAAATATAAATGTTTGTACTTTAGGTTAAGAAAAAATATAAAGATTATTTCAAGAAAAGACTGATAAAATGGTCTTATAAATAGAAGAATGAAAACAAGACTTTGAACAAATATCCCTTAAAAACCAATTTTTAATTTTCTTTTAGTGTTAAAAATAAAAATAAAACAAGTCTCTGGTGTTTCCCAAAAAAAATACACCTAGTCTATGGAACTGCAAAACATCTTAATCAAATACAAATACAAACATTTAAGGAATTTTTTAATCATATACATTACAAATACAAATATGCCAAACTAGCCTATTTTTACCAAATACAAATATGTATTTGACCCCAACCCTGCCAGTCAGTAGCACGCCAGTTGGTTAAAATGAAGTTAAAAAATTTACTTACTTATTTGTATGTATGTTGGATAAATCTCTAGCATGAGCTAGCACCATTAACCGTTTCAAAAATATAATTCTTTTACTCTTCCAAGAATCAAGTGTCATAATAAATAAACTAAGAACGCATGCAAACATTGGTCCGTTCAACTAAAATAAAAATTCCAACCAAACTCTGGTCTGTTTAAACAAAAAAAAAAAAAAAAAAAACCTTGCTTTAACTTTCAAATGAAAAAAAAACAAACAATCAAACAACAACTGGTTTAACTTGAAATAAAAACTATTACCAAACATTGGTTTGTTAATTTAAAATAAAATCACAAGCTAAAATAAAAAACAAAAAAAAGTTTAACTACCTCATAACACGATCCAACCCAATTATCAATAGATGCATCAAGAAATGAATTTAGCCATTGTTCTTCATTTGATCGTTGATGAGTGCTACAAATAGTAAGTTATAATAAGAACCGAAAAGTTGATGGGTGCTACAAATAGTATGAAAAGTTGATGGGTGATGCAAATATTACGAAAAGATGATGGGTGCTACAAATAGTGTTATTACAAAAACCAAAAAGTAGCAGAAGCTTCTATTACAAACAATTTCACAATTACATATGACATTTTAGAAACCTACATAAAGCCGTATTGTTCTAAATATTATATTATATACTAAATAATTCATACAAATTATTATTTACATAATAGCAACTTAATATAGATTTTTTATTTTTATATACTTTACTTTTATTAAAAAAACAAACAGAAACTCACGAGTTGACAACATAGAGAGCTAAATTCACCATGTAGGGTATCAAGTACATATTACTATGCTTTCCACCACCACCTGCATCATGGCTAAATGACTTTTGGTGAGCAAACTTTAGTAGCATTAAACGAATATCATGAACATTTGAATGAAAAGTTGGTTCACGAAGACCAGTACATTCTTGTATGTAGTTGTTATGCCTTTAAATATTAGCAAGAATAATTACTACTTATAAATTTAACAAATAATTATAATATATACATATATATATATATATATATATATATATATATATATATATATATATATATATATATATATATATATATATATATATATATATATATATATATAAATATATATATATATATATATATATATATATATATATATATATATATATATATATATATATATATATATATATATATATATATATATATATACAACATATGTAAGTTAACTTAGTTTATTCTACAAATAAAGTGCTCAATGTTCTTAAAAAAAGAGCAAAAACAAATTAGTCTAAATATTAATCTAAATATATTTTACAGCTTGTTTCACTTTTGGCAGGTTTATCAGGAAGCTTTCTGATGAGCCTGGTGAAGGTGAAACAAGCTGTAGATTTATTTAGGTAAGTGTTTTTACTAATTTATATATATATATATATATATATATATATATATATATATATATATATATATATATATATATATATATATATATATATATATATATATATATATATATATATATATATATATATATATATATATATATATATTAGGGTGATGCAAAAAACAACTTTTTTAAAAAGTCTCCTGCTCTTAACTAAATGTGTTCTATACAATACAAAAATATTGGGTTTAAAGTTATTTTGAATAAAAAATATTTTTAGGGGTGCCTCAAGACCCTTAAATATTTGACAGGTCCCTAATATTTTGAAAAAAATAGTTTTTTTTAAAATATGTCAACCTGGTACTCAAAAATAGCGAATAATAATCAATTTACATAAAAATATTTTTTTCAGATATAATTGCCTAAAAACTATTGCTTTTAAGATGATAATAAAAAAAGTCAATGCTTTCAAGTTTTTTAAAAATAATTTATTAAAACATGTTTTTTATGTAAATTGATTATTATTTTTCAAGTTTTTATATAATTTTGCTTCTTTTGAGTACCAGGTTGACATAATTTAGAGAAACTATTTTTTTCAAAATATTAGGGACCTGTCAAAATTTTTAAGGGTCATGAGGCACCCCTAAAAATATTTTTTGTTCAAAAAAATTTTAAACCTAATATTTTTGCATTATATAGAATACATTTAGTTAAGAGCAGCAGACTATTTAAAAAAAAATTGTTTTTTGTATCACCCTAATTGATATATATATATATATATATATATATATATATATATATATATATATATATATATATATATATATATATATATATATATATATATATCAATTATAATACTAATATATAACCATAATAATAATAATAACAACAACAGTAATATTAATAATAATTATAATAACAATAATAAAGATAATAATAATAATAATAACAATAAATAATAATGTATGAGAAAACAAACCGTGCAAGACATGATGCAAAAGCTGACTCTGATACCTAAAAAAAAAGTTTATGTAAAAGTAGAAATTAAAAGTAGACAGTTTTAAGTAACACTAAACTCTCAATTCTTTGAATTTTTTTAACAGCAACAAAAAAAAAATCAAAAGAACTCAATACCTCTGGTCCCCACAATGGTAAAAGCCCATTACATTTAGTGTTTGCATTTTGAAGTGCAGCACTTTCCCACTCATCACGTGATCGTGCATGTCTAAACAAATTAAGTTAACTAAAAACAGGTAAATCAACAACATTTTATGAAGGAGACAAAGACAGACAAGGAGGAGACAGTTTAAAATAAGTAAGAAACTGAATAAGTTAGAGACTGTCTAAATTAAGTAAGGGATTTTAATTAAGAATAAATTAAGAAAGGGAGTTATTATAATAACAACAAAATAATATATATATATATATATATATATATATATATATATATATATATATATATATATATATATATATATATATATATATATATATATATATATATATATATATATATATATATATATATATATATATATATATATATATATAAGCAAATAAGAAATTAAATGACAATGAAGGTAATAAAGCAAAAACTTCAAGAAAATAACTTTCAAGAAACAAGAAAACAACAACTTCAAGGAAGCAATATTAAAGCAAAAATCAGCTATCAAGGAATCAACACAAAAGAACAATAAAATAACAGCATCAAAAAAAAAAAAAAAAAAAATTAAGCAACAACAAGACAACATTGAAGTAACAATAAAACAATTAATAATGACAAAAACTGCAAAAACAACATAAAAACTGCCAAAATTCCAAGAATAAAAGACATACCGAACAGCTTCAATATGACAGTCGAAATGAATAATATTAAAATGAGAGACTGTTGAATAACCCTGTTGAAAATAAACAAATTAAATTGATTAACATTAATATTAAAGCACAAACATGCAAAGAATATCTAAATTTGTGTGTTATTATTCAAAAAAATGTTTACTTGTGTCTTCTTAGTTTTATTTTCATAATCATCTAATATACATCGAGAAGTAAAAGTGTAAACACCAAGTACCTATAGCAAAATTAAAAATTCTTTATGTGGTTATGTAAATAAAAAAAGTGTAGACACCATGTACCTAAAGCACAAAAATTCAAAATTTCTTTTTTTAACTTAGTATTGAAATAATTTAGCATTTTTTTAATATTAAGTTAAAAAACACGTTTGTTATTAAACTTTTTAATACCTTATTTGGATAAAATTTGTATCCTTCCCTGCAGATTGAACAAACTACTCTTTGATCTTGCTCTTCAAGGAGCTGAGCCATTTCTTGAGAAGATGGAGACATAGTCTTGATTTGACCACTCCCAGTAACCTAATAAATTTAATTTTTTACTCAAATATTTTATTTAAAAATTACTACTAATAAAGTGCAATAATATATACTATAATCTCTTTCTCTAGTACTAAAATATTTTTTTTCAGAGTGATTTAAACAATTTTAAACCAATCAAATATGTTCTTTAAACTGTGTGACTTTGAAACTGTGTGACTTAAAAAAATAGTTTTTCTGTTTTATAAGCCAATCTGGTACACCCCTATTTATAAGCCTTATTGTAATAAAATTAATTTAACTAAGGTGGGGATCGGATTTTACAAAACCAAACAAGTGTGCAGTATTTTATACTAATTAACAATAATTATTTTTTTTATTAATAAGATTTTCAAAGAACTTGATATTTTTACATAACTATTTTAAAATAATAATTTTGTTAGTATCAATTGGATGATCTTAACCGAACTTCTTATTAGAACTTTAACACTGTTTTTTTTGTATTAGGATTTAAAAAACCAGAATGATTTTCATGGATTTACATAAATTGCCAAGATAAAATAAGTATTCATAGGTTACATAAGTTTAAAAATGAAACTTTTTACATTTCTTGAACCTATTTAATTGAAAATGTTTACAGTTATTTCATTTTACCACATTTTACCACTTTGCAATTGTGTAAGCAATCATTTTAATCATTATATTCTATGCAAGCAATCAAAACCTATTTTTTTTTAACAGTTTTATATGAACAACCAACAACAAAAAACCTTTTCCATCAATTTTAAAAAGCAAGTTAAGGAATACTTACAGTCATGCCTAGAGAGTCAAGTTGTTTTTGTCTCATAGCCATAGCTAAGGCTTTCTTTTCGTCTCTAGTTTTATTTCGAATTTCTGCTACCTTTGAAAAGAATTAAAAAGTTAAATTTAAGAAGTTTAATATATTAGATTTTAATATATCAGATTTAAGAGATGAAAGATTGAGATTTAAGTGATGACATTAAGGTATAAGTAACAGTGAGACATAATATAATGTTGAATATGACAGATATTTTATCTGTGATATTTGTGATATTTGTGTTTTTTAACTAAAAATATTAAAAAAAAAATGAAAACACATATTTTACTCATAACAAAGCCTGCAAACTGATTGTAAGTCTAATTATATAAAAAAGTAATTGGTACCTTTATTTTTCCTTCTGGAAAAAGACATAAAGCTTCCAATAAATTTTCAGCTAACGAACCAACCATCTCTTCTGAAGAAATTTGCTCTAAGTGATGAATAACAGCAACATTTTCGTTTGTGGATATTAAAATCTAAACAATTTTTTAAAAATAAGAGAAAGATAAAATTAACTTTTCGTTAGATGATATTAAAATCTAGGTGATATTTTTTAAAGTGAGAAAAACAAAAATTTACTTTTGGAAAAAAAGAATAGTTTTATTTAAGCTTTTAAGACTTAAAATATTAAACAATTTGTTTGTTTATTACTATTATTTTTTTCATACAGTTTTCTAAACTCTATAACACCCAATTAGAAATGGGATTAAAATATAATAATATATAGAAAAGCTCTCTCAATACTTTAATTAAACAAATTTTTTTTTTTAAAGTTATTTTCTAAAACAAATAAGTCACAACTATATTCAAAATTATTAAAAAGTTAACTTTTGACATACATACATATATTTTGACTGTATATATATATATATATATATATATATATATATATATATATATATATATATATATATATATATATATATATATATATATATAAAATTTAAGAAAATCAATTATATAGCTCTGATATCATTCATTGAGCACTCTGGCTGAATATATGCTCACATCAAAATTAAAATTATCTATATAAACACACACACGCACACACATACATACATACATATATATATATATATATATATATATATATATATATATATATATATATATATATATATATATATATATATATATATATATATATATATATATATATATATATTATATATGTAAGATAAATCAAGTATATATGTAAGATAAATTGAGTATGAACATTTAAAATAATTATTAATAAAAACAAAATTCTTTTAAAAAATTTTCAAAAACTAAAATTTACTTGTGTATTTTGATGGTTATGAAGAAGACCAGTTAGCAAACGTAGTATGTATGGTAAAGATGGTTTTGCAATAAACTCTTTCCATTTTGCACTGTCCAAGATACCAGATGCCCTAATACAATTGTTTAAAAAAATTATATGAATCAATTACTTTATTAATTATTCTTTTATAAATAATAAAACAATTAAAAAGAAATTGATTTATATGGTTTTTATTAACTATAAATGATTGTTATGGTTTATGAATGTTTTCATAGTTTACAATGTTTTGTTTAAAAGCAGTTGAACAACGTTTTGATAAATTCTTTTATAACAACACAAAATGATTAAAAATATTTTCTGAAATAAAATTTTCTGAAACAATTTCTATAACATGTTATCATTTTGAAACAATTAAAATTACAAATTTGAGTTGCATCTTATTATTGCTTTCTCGCTACTACTACTACTACTACTACTACTACTACTACTACTACTACTACTACTACTACTACTACTACTACTACTACTACTACTACTACTACTACTACTACTACATAAAAAAATTTAAGAAAAGTATTGACAGAAAATTTTCATTTTCCACATATAATTTTTTCAACACAGTATATAAACATGTCAAATAACACATGTCTACAAAAAAGAACTTTTTTTCTGTTGCATGAGATATTTAAATTGATTTTTATGTATTTTGTAATGCTGATTTAAAATCTGAACTTTGTTTTTGTCGGCAAGTTCTAGTTTTTTGGCAATTTTTAATTTTTCAAAAATAAAGTATTTTATAGGCATTTTTACTTGGTGACCAATATAAAAAGTGGGCAACGCATACTCTGTGCCATATTTGCAAAGAGAGTCTTTGAGATTGGACAAAAGGAAAAAGAAAAAATTTACCTTTTGGAGTTCCTGTTGTGTAGAGAGAACCACTAAACCACACTGATGAGTGCTATTTTTGTCTTGTCAATACCTCTGGTATAAGAAAAATTAAGTGGCAAAAAATAGTTATCCCAACATTCTTTCAGCTATTAGACCAATTCAACATTCTGAAAAGATTCTGATTTCAATTTTTAAAGGTTTATTTTTGTCAGATGATGAACAAAGCATGTCTGCTGCAGAAATTGAATTTATACCAGATTTAGAAGACTTCTCTAATGCAAAACGTTTAAAATTGTCTAAGTGTTTTAGTCAGATAAAGCTGAATGACTTAGTTCATGATTTAGTAAATGATTTTGTTTAATTTTTTTTCTAAGCAAGCAGCAGAACTATTAGCCTCTCGATTAAAGGAAAAAACCTTTCTCAACAGCTTTTCAAAAATTACCTACTTTAGAACAAGAGAGGAAACATTTTTCACTTAACTTTATGAAAGATCCAGAACACAACTGGATTATTTATGGAGTTATAAAAATGGTTAACTTCCTTGGCCAGCAAAAATATTTTACTAAATTTCCATGTTATCTATCCATGTAGGATAGCTGAGCGAGAAAGCAACACTGAAAACAAAAGGAATATATGCAACACTGTCACAGTGGGCATATCAATCAATTATTGTAAATGAACTCATTGTAAGCAAAAGTAAAATAGTTTTTCCATCACTCCATCTTAAGCTTAGTTTCTTATTATAATAAAACGCATCTTAAGCTTAGTTCCTTATTATAATAAAACGCATCTTAAGCTTAGTTTCTTATTATAATAAAACGCATCTTAAGCTTAGTTTCTTATTATAATAAAACGCATCTTAAGCTTAGTTCCTTATTATAATAAAACGCATCTTAAGCTTAGTTCCTTATTATAATAAAACGCATCTTAAGCTTAGTTTCTTATTATAATAAAACGCATCTTAAGCTTAGTTTCTTATTATAATAAAACGCATCTTAAGCTTAGTTTCTTATTATAATAAAACGCATCTTAAGCTTAGTTTCTTATTATAATAAAACGCATCTTAAGCTTAGTTTCTTATTATAATAAAACGCATCTTAAGCTTAGTTTCTTATTGTAATAAAACGCATCTTAAGCTTAGTTTCTTATTATAATAAAACGCATCTTAAGCTTAGTTTCTTATTATAATAAAACGCATCTTAAGCTTAGTTTCTTATTTAGTTTCATCTTAGCTTAGTTTAGCTCCATCTTAAGCTTAGTTTCTTATTATAATAAAATGCATCTTAAACTTAGTTTCTTATTTAGTTTCATCTTAGCTTAGTTTAGCTCCATCTTAAGCTTAGTTTCTTATTATAATAAAACTTTATTTTTCTCATAAAACATAAAAACTATATATTCAGCTATTTTTTATTTTTATTTTAAATTTTTTAATTTAAAATAAAAATAGAAAATAGCTGAATATTTTTTAAAGTTATATGCAACTGGATTAGCAACTTTTTAACTATTGGACTTTAAAGAGTGATACAAGGCAATGAAGTTAAAGAGTGATACAAGGCAATGAAGTTAAAGAGTGATACAAAGGCAACATCAAACTGGGAAATGATAACAAGCTGTTTTCCCCAAGGATCGGTAATTTCTCCAGTTTTATTCATTTTATACATCAACGATTTACCAGAGATTTTAGAACATTCTAAGTATTTGCAGATGACACCAAGTTATTCAGGAAAGTATTTGCAGATGACACCAAGTTATTCAGGAAAGTATTTGCAGATGACACCAAGTTATTCAGGAAAGTATTTGCAGATGACACCAAGTTATTCAGGAAAGTATTTGCAGATGACACCAAGTTATTCAGGAAAGTAGCTCTGATTTTGATCATTTGCTTCAGAATAAAATTAACCAAGGCTGCAAATGGTCAGAGGTCTGGCAATTACAATTTAATAGTGAAAAACATTGTATTATGCACTTTGGAAAAAATAATCTTCACTAGGTTTATAAACTAGGTGACAAAATATTAGCAGTCTATAACGAAAAAGATCTTGAAATTGCAATGTCATCAAATCTCAAATGGAAAAGTCACATAACCAATTAAACATCAAAAGCTTATTCAATGCTTAGAATGTGGAAAAAATATTTCATCAACAAAAAAATATTTAACATAATATATGTAACATTTATAAAACCCTATTATGAATTTGCAATAAAAGCATGGTGGCCATACCTTGATATTATAGCACTTGAAAAAGTTCAACATGCCAATATGCCACTAAATGGATACCCCAGAATCGAAAACAAAGTTATGAAACAAGAATTAAAATACTAGGCTTAAGCTTAATTAACCTAATTCAAATGTACAAACTATTTAAAAAAATAAATATTGTAGAACTGGATTGTAATATTTTTGCTTCGTATCAGCCCAACACAAGAGTCCATAACTTCAAAATTAGAAGAAAAAAACTGCAATATTTGTTATCAATTCTTAACTAATAGAGTCTCATCAATGTGGAACTACCAGATGTTATCATCAAAAGTGAAGGCAAGAACTTATTTAAAACTCGCATTAATAAATATCTAGAGCTATATTTGTAATTTATAATTTAAGTTTTTTACCAAGAATAACTACTCAATGTATATGCAATCAAAGTTAAATTAACTACTATTACAACCCTTGGAATTAGGGTCAGCATTTGGCAACGCCGATCTAGAAGTGTTTGAGGTCAGCAAAAAATTGTCTACCTTGTTTCTATGTTTTACTGTCAAACATTTGTTTTACATTTTTTCTGACAACCTCACACAGATTAAGGTCCGCAAATTATTGATGACCTTATTTTTCCTAATTCCGAGGGCTGCTATTAATTTCACTCGCAGTTTTCGAACTACTACAGCTTTCTATTATATTATTATATTAAAATAAAAACAATTGATTATGCTTTATAAATTAATATTTTGGTATTAATTTATAAAAAAAAATTTTATAAAACTTATAATAATAAAATTAAAATGTCAGAAAAAGAAAGATGTTTTTATTTTATTTTTTTCAACAGGAAAGGTGATCACAAAACCACAAGAACAAAATTTTGTTTTTAATATCAACTAAAAAAAAAAAAAAAAAAAAATAAAAAAAAGTATGACTTAGAACTTAAATCTAAGGCTTAACTTTAGTCTAGGACCTAAGCTGTGAGGTTTAATTAGTTTCTTCTAATTATAATTAAATAAAAATTAATAATAATAATATAAAAAACTAAAAATAAAATTGAATAAACTTGATTTCTTTGTCACAAAATTTTATTGAAAACAAAACCTTTTAAAATATTGTAATTACCTGAAGGATTGTGGTGGGGTATGATTTTGTAGATAGTCTAGCGCTTTAGTAACTATTCCTTCTCTGATCATTAAATCTTTTAATTTTGATCCAGTGTCACTTTTCTAAAATGTATACATAAGCGAATATATGCTTTTTTTTTGTGCATGCTACACTCAGCGAAATTTCCACAGTTCCACTTACATTTTGTACATATAAATAAATTCATGAAGTATTTGCTTTTTTTTTTGTTTATTACAGGAATTATTAGGAATAAATAAATAAGCAAATAATATTTTAATAGAAAATAATTATTAATTTATTTTGTAAAACTTAAAAGTTAGGAATATTTAAAAAAAAAAAAAATTTTCTATAGTTCCATCAAAGGTAATCCTTTATAATTTTCGTTCTAGATAAGAATTTTTTAATTAGTTCAGTTTTTAATAATGTATGCTACCATCTTTTACACTAATTAATTTGAAGATTCAGTTTTTCATACTTTTTATAAGATTTTCCAAACAAACCTTTGAAATACCGTTCCATGCTTGTTGGATAGATGTTTTAAGTTCTTGTATTGTATTATACTGTCGATTATTTCTATATATAGTTTGCGCCAATATTCCCCATAAATTTAGGGTATAAACAATAGGGTTCAAGTCAGGTAAACATGATAACCAATCCAAATCATTTTTATTTTTTTCCTGGAACCACTTTTTTACACTTCGTTCTGTGTGAATCGCCGCATTATATTGGAAAATCCAGTTCTCAGTAGGTAAACCTTCACTAAACTCTATTAAAACATCTTCTAAACGATCTAAGTAATTTCTTACATTCATTTTTGTTGTAATAAAACATATTGCAAATTTACCGTGAAAAACAAAATGCGGCCCACACCATAAGTGTCCCTCCGCCGAAGTTACGACCTATGCTAGGCTATTTTTTTTTTTTCAAATCATGCCAATAATACTTAAAACCATCAGACCCATCTAAGTTAAAATTTTTTTTGTTGGAAAAAATAATATTTTTCCATTTTGCATCCCATGCCACATGGTTCTTTGCAAACTTAAATCCTTCTTATTTATGTTTCTTTGTCAATGGCGGTTTTGTGATCATTCTTTCCCATTGGAATTTTCCTGATTTTAACAAAGTTTGTTGGACACGTCTTGTAGTCACTGGTAATTCAAGTTCAGTCCTTATTTGTCTTGCTGTTCGTAGTCCGGATGACGCCAAACGCAAAATGTTGCCTTTTGATTGTTTTTTTATTTCCGCCCTTAAACTGATTTTTGTTGTAATTTTTAGCTAAGTTTATAAAATTGTTCACTGCATGATGAGACCTTCACTGCATGATGAGGCCTTCACTGCATAATGAGATCTTTTGGTTTTCTTTGCAATTTGTCGATTGGAAAAACAATCTTTGTAAGCAATAATTTTCGCTTTTTCTTTCTCATTTAACACCTTTCCTCCATGGATCCCAAATCAACTTGTATTATTATCAAGAGGCCGTAACATAAATATGATATTAGCATTGAATTGCCTAAACACCTTCCAGAGTGAAGCAATAATTTGCGTAGGGGTTACAGCAGATATCTTTAAAGGATTCTTAAATACACTTAAAAGTATTTTGGGGGTATTTTTATGATATTATTAAGTATTTTTATGATATTATCCATATGGTTTTTTTTTTACCATGATACTCACCTTTTCTAAATCCTTGTGAAGTGACATTTGCGAAAATTAAGAATACTCCAAAAGGTCAAGAATACTACAAAGTAGCAGTTGTGAGCACATTACTGAACATGATCTTTCAAACTTCCTGAGACACTGTGAATCTTTTCTTACGCAATGTTTTAATGTTTTGAGATCTTTTGATTTTCTTTGCAATTTGTCGATTGGAAAAACCCATATCTTTGTAAGCAATAATTTTTGCTTTTTCTTTCTCATTTAACACCTTTTTGCTTGGCATTGTAATAATTAAATAACAAATCTTAATTAAAAATACAAAAAACTTCCATATAAAACAAACAAATTAAAAAATTTTACTCAAACTTCAATTAATACTTATTAAGTGTTCAAAACAAACTAATGGAACTATGGAAATTTCACCTGTATATATATAAATTTTAAAAACATTCTAGAAAATTTAGTTTCAATTGTTTTAGAAACAAATAAAATTGTCATAAACACATTTGTTTGCAATAGGTCTAATAAAGAAAATTTTTGTGGTTAATTTTATAAACGCATTCCACATAAAATCTGCAATAACTATATGGAACTATAGAAATTTCGCTGAGTGTATAAAAAATTTTAAATAGCATGATAAAAAATTTTTTATGTAATTTATTTCCCTAGGGTAGGGGAGACCACTACAGTTAAGAACGCAACAGTTAATAAATTTAAAAAAATTGTTATTTAAACATCTCTTAACTCTTTAACTATGAAACACAAACCTCAAACACTTAACTCTGCACAGAAAAACAAGTTGCAGACAAACATTTTCTCTAATTTCAAATTCTGACTAAAATTCTTATAGCAACCATATATAAACTTACAGAAATTCCCTCAGCAATCATACATAAACAATCAAGTTGTAAAATGCTGTCAGCTGATTTTTCATTATCAAACCTAAACAAGTAACATAAATCAAGAAACAAATTTAATAAACTGATTAAGAATCAATAATTTAACTAAAAACATGTGGTTTAACATAAATTGTGTGGTTTAACATAAAACATGTGTTTTAACAAGACTTACTTGTCAAAATCTAGATACGGAAGGAAATGTTCAATTAAAGAGAGCATGGATTCTTCATTACCAAACGTTAAAAATGGTGTCAATTTCATCATTGCTTGTAAAACATTAGCATTTGATCTCTGTAAGGTAATTAATTAGTTTTTTTTCTAAAGTTTTTCAAATAAATAATTGTTTAAAAAAAATTCTTTTAAAATTTATACCACATATGGACTTGTAATGTGATTCAATAAAAGCTCCAGTTGAGATTCTTCATCAGGCAAATCAATCTTAAAAACACAATTATTTCAAGAGTAAAAAAAAAAAATAAAAAAATATAAAAACAAAATTATATGTTTAGTAATATATAACTTACCTAACTTTTTACTTTTTACAAAATATGTTAAAAAATGTTAAAAAATTGTAAAACTTTACAGAACTTTAAACAACAGTAATTGTAACTTTAAAATTCAATTATTGCAATTATTTTGTCTACTCTTTTATTTGTTATGTAACAATTTTCATATTTTAAAGTAATTAAGTTGAATGAAAAAATGTTTCTTCTTTACATTTAGCAAACAAATTCTTTATATTTTGTAAAATATTCTTTTATATTTAGTAATCTCTATGAGGGTAATTTTTAAAATTAAAAAAAAAAATTTACCTGCTGAAGATCCCCTTGTATAGTTGCTTCATGTAGTACTACTTCCATAATCTTTAAAACACGCTCGGCAAGCATTGCTCCGCCACTTTTACTCCCATAATCTCTCTCAAGCCTGAGTGCATGATTTAAAGTTGATAGTAAAATTTTCATGCCACATAAAGAAGGTTGTATAATATATTGTCTATTTACTTTAACTTTAATGCAATATTCAAGCAATTTTAGAATAATTGCAACTAAATGTTGCGCTCTTGAAAGATCACGAACATAAGATAACCTTAAAAAAAAGAGAAGTTTACATGTTTTTAAACAATTTCAAAGTAAATACTGAGTAGATGTTAAAAAACAACCTACCTTTTAAAAATATTTTCTAAGCCACTAATTTCTGCTATTATAGAAGCACGTTGGTACTGTGATTCTTCATCAACATTATCCGCTAAAATATAATTTCTTTTATATAAATTCAAATGCAATACAAATAAATTACAAAAGAGATTTTGAAATCTCTCCAATTTTTCTCCAACCCCTATACCAAGGATAAGGTGACTATACCAAGAGTAAGGTGACCATACTAAAGGTAAGGTGACCTTGTTAGCCTTTGATAGTAATCTTTTTAGTGGTAGTATCACATTAAAAATCAAGTTAAAGCAAGGAAAGGCATTCACTAGTAAAAAAACCCTTTTAACTCTTTCAAAATGTCGCATTTAAATAAAAAAATAGTATTTTATAATCTAAATATTCGCACCACTTAAGTATGGAACCATGGGCATTAAAACTTATTTAAAAAAAAACCTTTTTCTTTAGAGAGATTTTCAATAATATCTTCTGTGGCATCTCCAAGAAGACCACGCATTCTGTAAACAATTCTCATTGGATCTTTGTGATCATCTCTAGAACACCATACTTTTTTATAAACTTGTAAAACAGGTAAGTCTAAACTAATAATTTTGTTGTTTACAAGAAGCTCCATGCCCGTATCATCTTCTAATAAAGCAACCAACTCGCATTCTAAAATACAAATAATAAACAAAATAAAATAAATTATTGACAACATTCAAAATTAATACAATATAATAGACAATATAAAAAACTACTTGACAATATAAAGGTTTTTTTTTACTGTCAATTAGTTCATTTTATTTTAATTTCAAGTAGTTGGCTCTAAACTTAACTTAATACCTGTACATATAGTATTTTTTATATCTCTCATTAGTGGACCAAGTCCAGGCTGATTTGAACTGTATGGGTTTCCATGCATGCGTCCCTGTAAAAAGTCTTCTTGCTGTGGATCTTTTTCAAGGTTCATGAAAAACTCTGTGCTTTCAACTTCAGGCTTGAATAGGCCGGGGAAAAAATGAAAAAAAGTTTTTTGAATATCCAAAAAATTAATTAAATAAATTATATACCCTTTACCTAACAGAGTAAGCCAAAAATTCATATACCCTAGGCTAAGTGAATAATAAAAAAAAATACATGTCAAGGTTAAAGGTCAAAGAAATATATATACTATGGGTTAACATAGTAAGCTAATTTTAAATATAATTTTCTTTTGAAAATAGTTTTTAACAATTATCAACATAATTTTTATTTTAAAAAATACTTTAAAAAAACACACCTTATAAATAGTATTACACAGTTGCTCAAAGATAAATATTGGTGTTCTAATGTCATTGATTGGACATCTAAAAATAAATTAAAGAAATAATAAAAAATAAGGATAAAAAAGATATTAAAACTGAATAAAAATTTTTTAAAAATGAAATAAAAAGATAAAAAAAAGAGACCTTTTGAGAGCATCTATGCATGTTTTCATGAAAAATTTATCCTCTGTACCTAAAATAAGTAAAGATGGTCTCTAAAATAAGTAAAAATAAGTAAGCATTGTTATATATATAGACCATCCAGGTCATATTTTAAAAATCCAAAAATTTGGGTAAAATATGCGGAATATATTTTCCATTATTTTCCATTAATTTTGCTTTTAGCTGAGATTGTTTTTAATTTTTTTTCAATCTTTTCTTTATTTTTTTTATGAGTGATAAGTAAAAAAGCTTAAAAAACAAATATATTACAAAAAGTTATACCTAAACTTATATGTATAGAAAATGTATTGGATATCCTGAAAAACTTGAAGTTAAAAAAAACATCCAATTCCGTAAATATTCAGAAAAGGACCCCTGTACATAAAAAATGTACCCCTGTACATAAAATACTTAACTATTTATTTTTTAAGTTTTTAAAAGTTTAAAAATAACTAAAACCAGCAAAAAATTAATTGTTGCAATATTTATATAAGCAGCTTTAGAGATTGAAGTTTTGCATCAATTAAAATTTGTTATAAAAATCTTTGCTTGCCTGAATTTAACTGTTCCAATAAAGCCAGCAAAATGTCTTGGGTTTGATCAACAAGTTTTGTGCGTTGAACAACTAATCTAAAGAATAACAAAAAAAAAAATTAAAATATAAATATACTAAAAACAAAAAAAAAAAAAAAAAAAATTTCTTTACTTTCTTAATGATAAATAACACTGCAATACATCTGCAACATATTTTTGTTGACAAACATTTTTAACTTCAGCATCTTCCAAAAACGATTTAAATAATTCTGTATAAAAATGTAAGAATAATAATAAGCACAATTTTTAATTTGAGCAATCAAGACGAAAATAAATTAAAATATGCTTATAAATATAATCAAGACGAAAATAAATTAAAATATGCTTATAAATATAATCAAGACGAAAATAAATTAAAATATGCTTATAAATATAATCAAGACGAAAATAAATTAAAATATGCTTATAAATACAAAATACATTATCGCAAGAAAGAAAGAAAAAAAAAAAGATAAAAAATAGAAGTTATAAGGAATAAAATAATTTTAAACATTTCAAACAAATTAAATTTATTCTTTTAAAATAAGCCATTACCAGCTAAAGCAAAAAGAGAGTATCCCTGAGTAAGATCTACATTCAAAGTTGTACGCTCTAAACTTGCAAGATGTTCTACTTCCTGAAGTATGAAAAGGAGTTTATTTATGTATTATGTGTTTATATATATATATATATATATATATATATATATATATATATATATATATATATATATATATATATATATATATATATATATATATATATATATATATATATATAAATATATATATATATATATATATATATATATAATATATATATATATATATATATATATATATATATATATATATATATATATCCTGAAGTATGAAAAGGTGTTTATTTATGTATTATGTGTTTATATATATATATATATATATATATATATATATATATATATATATATATATATATATATATATATATATATATATATATATATATATATATATGTGTATATATATATATATATATATATGTATATATATATATATATATATAAATATATATATATATATATATATATATATATATATATATATATATATATATATATATATATATGTATATATATATATATATATATATATATATATATATATATATATATATATATATATATATATATATATATATATATATATATATATATATATATATATTAGGGCCCTGCGAATCAGCTTTTTTTAGTTTTGAATCGAATCTTGAATCAAAGCAGGTCTTGATTTGCGAATCGAATTGAATCACTAGTTAAAAGAAATTTAATTTTTTTATCTTTATTTTTATATATACAATACAAAATATTACAAAATTTGAATGTTATTTGAACAAACTCTTTTTGTTACTTCTAGCCCGAACTAGCTGTTCTGCACTTTGCTCAGAATGACTATTGCGTTTACTGTCAATCCCTTATCCTCCCACAGAGTTAACTCTTTCTGACAAACAATTTGTAGCTTGAACAGCAAGAAAATCAGTTGCAGCTTTGGATATAAAGGGTAAATGTTACGTTTGTTTTTAACAGTTTGAGAATAAAACAATCTGAACGTCCTAACGTTTTCTCTTCTATGTATGCAGTAGTTTCAAAATTTAATTGCTAATCCAAAGTTCTTTTCTCTGGTAGAGTATGATTTTCAGTGATATGTTCAAACATTTTATCAAAAATTCCATTTGCTTCAGCTGACAAATTTGCTACTTCGAGTTGAATTTCAGCGGGAATCATAGTAATATTTAAATCGTGTTTTTTTTCAGATGTCGTTAGATAAGATTTTACGATTTGTATCTCTGCCAAAGTAAACAATTTTGATTTAAATCAAGAGTCTAAGAAATTATCCCTCTTTTATCCATTAGGCGAAGATAATTTTTCAAAATTGTAATGCAGGGATAAACTAAACTAATGCTTACACTTTTTTCCGCACTTAGCATAGTAGTGGCTTCATATTTAAAATAGGAGTGACTGTTGATAATAATTGCACTTAAGTTTCAGTTAAACAATTTGGTGGCACTTTCATACAGTTTTTTTTTTGTGAACACTCAACTAGAGCAATTTCTATAGAACCACAATTTTCTTAAATCCATTCCAATAAGTTAGAAGTGCTGTTAAAGCGGGTTTCCACATCCATTGGAGGCTTTGACTCAGGTTTTCCTTGAGAAATCTGATACTCTTTAAGAGCTGCCTGTCCAACTGATGATGAGTGAAAAAATATTACTATTTTATGAGCCTTGCTAATTAATGTAACAAGAATTGGTTGGTTGTGTATAGCTAATTTTACAACAAGTTTAAGTTTTATTTCAATCAATTCCAAGAAGTTTAAGTGTGCAAGGCATAATAGGAGTAGTATCGGTTGTAGCTCGGAAAATATTATCTGAAGTCAAGTCAAATTTTAACAGCATGTTTCTTAAAACTTCTTCAGTGGAAGTAGCTCTGTGACAAGCATTTATTACTTCCAGATTTACAACTGATAAACAGCATGATTCTAAAACCCAAGAGGATGAAATAAAGTGACAAGTAGAAACAAGAAAATTATCGCCATTGTCAGCTTTAAAGTGATCAAAAGTGATGCTAGCTTTGGAGATAAACTGGTTTTTAATACTTTGTTGGAAGTTAATATATAAATCATCAACCATATCACCTAAATTTTGAGATAAAGTGGTCTGGTGTGGTGGATGATATTGCCCTTGAGTAAACACCGAGCACAGATTAATAAAGTCATATTCAGAAGTTGTCTCAAATGATCTTCCGTTTTCAACTATAGTTATATAATCTAAGCACTGCACGATCGTAGTTTTTTTAAATAACTGTATCTATTGGAGGTCGAATAAAAAACGAATTTAACAAGGAACATGATGATTGCTTGATTGTGTTATCAGAATTCTTTTTTCTTTTAGTAGCAGATGTGCACTTTTTTGTTGCTTCTACGTGTAGTTTTTTATGGTCACGATTTAAATGGTTCCATAGATGAGATAAAGTTCCAGTTTTCTGAATAGAATACTTTTTGTTGCAATTTTCTTGTTTGCATTGCCAGAATACTACTTTTTTTTCAAAGAATTCTTAAAATGCCAACTTTTTAAAAGTCATTTATAGCTTAATGCGAAAATAGCTTGATGTAGCACAAACAAAAAGTATCAAATTTAAAATTACTTTAGTGAAAGCAAACTCAAATGTTAACGATACAAAAAATAAAAGCTAACTTTTGTGTTACGCTCTGTTTAAATTCCTTATCGGCAATTAATTTTAATGAAAAGTTTTATGTTCCAAAATTACTCTACTGTTGAATTTTCTGATAACATAAATATTGATATTTTGAAAACTTTTTAACACTCCTTGTATGAAAACATAAAGTAATTTAAATTAAAAATTGATTCGTAAAACTCGAATCATTTTTTTAGAATTGAATCTCGAATGGACATTTGATTCGCAAATCCAATCAAAGTGATATGCAGGGCCCTAACACACATACACACACATATATATATATAAAAAACTAACATTTTTTTCACATTTAAAAAAAAACAACTATATTGTTATTTATTTATAGTTATTTTTCTCTAAAATTGTGCTATAATATTCCTTCGTATAGACTAAATGAGCAATACGCAATAAAACATAAGTATTTTCAATATGTGACACCTTATAAGCTTGTTTTAATGAATTTATAAAAAGTCTATTATTGATCATTGCTATATACAGTCTTTATAATTTAATTCTTAACTTTATTGGTCAATTCTATGTTTCAAATGAAAATATGCTTTTAAATTTTTGATACAAATAAAATATACAATCATTTGAAAGTGCACAGTTTCCATAGAATGGATTTACTGTTTTAAATTATATTATCTTATGTCTTGGCTAGTATAATATAACTTTTATTAACCTTTACAATATTGATTTGAAGATGCAAGTAACAAAAGTTCAAGCAACAAGTAACGGTAAGTAGTAAGTCAAGAAACAAGACAACAAGCAGTAAGTAAAAAGATGCAAGTAACAAAAATTCAAGCCGGCATAGTATATATGTATGTATGTATGTATGCATGTATGTATATAAATGAATTTCAAAGCCCTTTATACTTCAACTTTTAAAGTGCTGAGATGAAGATTTTCAAAAAAAAATTTACAAAGAAAAAAAAACTAAATTAAAAAAAAAATTTATAAAAAAAATGTTGAACAAATTAAAAGGAACTTCTTAAAATCTAGAATTTTGTAGAACCTCTATACACACTGGAAGTGTCTAAAACTTTCTGGAGATTTTTACAATTTTCCAAGACTTTCTAGAACTTTTTTTTTACATTTTTATACTTTTGTTTCAAAGTATTTGAACTATGTGACTTATGTGAAAACCTTTCAAGTTTTATTTCAGCTCATAATTAAAATGCTTTTAATATTGAATCTCAATTATAATTGTAATTGTAATAATCACTACCTTTAGAATGATTAGGATTTTAATTGAATTTAATTATAATTGATTAACTACTTTTAAGTATCTATCAAAGAAAGAAAAGAATTCATAAAAAAATAACAAAAACAAGATTAACAGGAATAAAGTGTTAATAAAATTATGTAAAAAGAAAATAATAATAAAAAAAAAAACCCTTTCCATTTATTAACATAAACTAATTAATTAGAAATTGGATTGCTTATTTATTGGCTATTAAACCATCTTCTTGACCAAATGCTTTAAATAACAGATAATGAACTCAAAGAAAACAATCAGACTTATAAATAATTATGTCTTAAATATACATAAATACTACATATAAAAAAATATATACCTGAACTATAAGTTGACATAACTTATCCATGATTCCTGAGTTAGACATATATACTTTATATCCTGATCCACTTAGTATTTTTTTCAAAAGAGCCAAATACTCACTTGAATTTTCACCAGCTAACCTTAGCTCACTTAGGTAACTTGATCGATTAAAAAATTAAAAAGTTATTTTAGTAAAATTACTACTTATATTATTATAATTATATATTGTTAATATCATTAACTAAAAAATTAAATTAATTAAAACTATTATTTTTAATAACAATAACAAGAATTTTTTTTAATTATCATAAATAAATTACATCAAAATAGGTATATAATGTCAAGTGAAAGAATTTTTAAAAAACCTCATAAGTAATTGAAGAAGGATTTCTTTTCTTTGACTAGATTGCTATGGGAAAAAAAAAATATTGTTAACTAAATGTAGTGTAAAAAACAATATCATCAAAACAATTTAACAAATTTATACCAACCTATTACTAATAGAGATGTGCCAGGTACCTGACATATTTTTTTGATGTGCTAGGTACCTGGTAGTTTTTGGAGTTGTATGCTAATTTTTCTAGGTGCCTGGCTACCCCTGAAAGAGCTAGGTATATTTTGCAAATGCTTGACAATCCTGGGAGATGATGGGAACCCTGTAACTTATGTATGTTTACCAGGTATCCAGTAATTTGAATTTATAGGGTACCTGGTACACTGGGGAGTTTCCAGGTAACCGACACCTCTTTTTCTGTTTTTGGATGCCAGGTACCTTCAAAAATTATCAAGCACCTTCTAAATTAGCGGGCATCTCTAAGAATAGCAAGATAAACCAGCACACCTAAAAAACTTGCCAGGTACCCAACACATTATTAAATGTAAATTCTATCAAAATGATACTCAGCAAACACACTGGCATAAAAAATGCAATAAAGTCAGACTATTAACTGTTAGAACTTAATTGCATTTAAGTCATTGACCAACAGACCAAAATAGGATGTCAAGAGGATGCTCTCTCAATGTCTTGTGTTTCCTGGGAAACATTTAACCAAATTCATAACATTGACATGACTGTCAATCCACATTGACATAACTTTGTCAATAAATATTAAACAGACTGGGTACAATCATATACACAAATTTATTATTAAAAAAATGCATAAAGATAACTAATATAAAACAACTTACTAAAGTTATCTGTTCAAGAATACTGCAAATAGTTTGTCTTGTTGCTCTAGACGATGATGCAAAAAGCAGCTGCTTTAACCATCCATTATGTTTTCTTTCAAAATGTTGTTCTGGTTCATTTGAACCAACTGACTTACTTTCTTTCCAATTTAAGTAAGTATAATCACCTCTTAACCATTTTTCAAAATCAATAATTGGTACCATTTGGTTAGGTTTGTTGATTCGAATAATCTAATTTAAATAAAACAATTACTCATTAATATAAGTTCTCTTTTGTTAAAGATCTCATTTTTAACTTTAAACTTAGATCTTTAAATACTTTTGACTGATTTACTTGTTACTTGTGGGATTTACTTGTTACTTGTGGGATTTACTTGTTACTTGTGGGATTTTGATATACTGAACTACTTTCTCAAATATCTTTATTTAAAAATGATTTACCTTTTTGTTTGAAGGAAGTTTTGGTTTTACACAACTATTAATAATTTCTAGACATGGAAGAGTAATGGATTCACGGACCTCTGTGCTTGGATTTTTTAATGAATCAAGAAGCAACATAAACACTAAACAAACAAACAAAAAAACTTCATTAAATCCAAAAAAGTTAATTTGTTTGTCAACTTTATATTTTTATTTAATTAATTAATAATTACTATGAAATTAATAAGTGATTATAATTATGTAATTAATTTAATTTGCAATTATAAATTAATTAAAAACTATTATGTAACACCTGTTGATTCTTAAATACTGTTATAATTATATGATATATATTTCCTAATCTTTCAACTTTTTAACAACTTTTGTAAATTTTACAGTAAAATATTTTGAAGATTATAAGCTTTTGAGAGAAGAATTTTTTAAGAACTTTTAAAAATTATTTTTATGCAAATTGACAATAGTTAGACAATTTTTTAAGAACTTTTGAAAATTATTTTTATGCAAATTGACAATAGTTAGACAATAAATTGACAATAGTTAGACAATAAATTGACAATAGCTACTTTTCATAAATCATGCTCTAGAGAGAAAAAATGTGAGAAAAACTTTAATGACTGATAGATTGCACTAAAGAAAAATGTCAAGATTAAGTTATATAATGTAATAAATATAAAGACACTTCATACTTACCACATGATAATCTTTGTTCCCATAAAAAATCATTACTTGCAACAGATTGCCTTAACAGAGAAAGTTCGCTACTCAATGAAATGTTCTAAAAACATGACAAATAAAATATACATATATATATATATATATATATACATATATATATATATATATATATATATATATATATATATATATATATATATATATATATAAACAATTTTAAATTTTTATCGTTATTTTAAAGGGATCCCAAACCTCCGAGGCATGTTGTGTTCATATCAAAAAGAATGATAAAAAAATGTATGGGCTGAATTTTTTTTTATTAAAACAAAAGAATAAATGAATACCAAGAAAAACTAACTTTTTTATTTTAGTCTTCTCTGTTTTATTGCAGACCTAAAATTCAGAGTAATATACGCCACAATCTACAGACTTGATAAATTATTCAAGCACATTTTATTCCTAAGAGTTTTAGTACATGACGTCATTGACTTTTGTTTGTTTACATAATCGATCTCAAGCAAAAAAAAAAAAAAAACAACATCATGCACTAAACTCTTAGGAATAAAACGTGCTTGAAAAAATTAAGTCTGTAGATTGCAGCGTATATTATGCTGACTTTTAGGACTAAAATTAAAGTTAGTTTTTCTTGGTATTCATTTATTCTTTTGTTTTAATCAAAAAAATTTAGCCCCAATATTTTTTTATCATTCTTTTTAATATGAACACAACATGTCTCTGAGTTTTGGGATCCTTTTAAAACAAAACAAAAAACTTATTTTGAAATATAATTTTTATTATTATTATTTTTATTATCAATTATTTAATTTCTAATTTTAAACATTAAAATTTTCAAATTAATAATTTTTCCTAAATAAAAATTGATATCAATGTTTCATACAGTGGGCAAATAGATTTAGCATAATTTTTTATTGAATTTTAAATTACCACACAAATTTTTTGGACCTCTAGTAATAATAATTTTTGCCATACAACTTTTTTTTTAATTTATGATCCTTAAATTACTTGATGTATAAAAAGATAATAATTAAAAATATGTAAGTTTTGACTGTTATTATTTTTGCACTAGTAAATTTATTATTTTGTTCTTTTATTAATTTTTGCAATATCATAAATTGACCATTTCATTAAAACAGTGTTCATGGTTTATATATATATATATATATATATATATATATATATATATATATATATATATATATATATATATATATATATATATATATATATATATATATAACATATGCATACATACATACACACATATGATTTTAGGAATGAAATCTTGTGTGAAAGTATATTCTATATTGTTATCTAAAACATTAGAAAATATAGTTTTTCTAAATATCATTCTTTATTTTAGAAATTTTGCTTGACTATATATATATACCAGATCACCATGTTAAATGTTAAACATTTAATGAGCTGATGAATCTGGTATTTATAATCCAATGAATAATTCTAAAATAAAAAATTATTAGAATTAAGAGAAACTATATTTTCTGAATAAATAATAATACATATATAAATACATACATACATATATAAATACATACATATATAAATATAAACACATACATATATAAATACATACATATACATATATATAAATATATATATATATATATATATATATATATATATATATATATATATATATATATATATACATACATATATATATATATATATATATATATATATATATATATATATATATATATATATATATATATATATAAATATAAAAATACATGGGTTATCTTTGTTTGAATATATAATATTGTTTTGCCTAAATAATAAACTAACCGACATCATATTAGCAGATTGAACTGAAAGGCATAACTTAATTCTTTCACAAATAAGCTCATTTAGTGATTCATTGGCTTTTTTATTTTCTGATGTAAGTTTGATCAGAAGAGTTCTAGCAAGGGCTACAAGATCTTTTTTCTCAAGTTGTAAATTGTGAGTTACAAGTTCTTGCAGACAACCCTAAATTTTATTAAAAAAAATTTAATGTCAACAAAAATAATATAAATAAAAAGTATTTTTATATTAAAAAGTAATATAAAAAACGTTTTTATATTAAAAACAAGTGTTCATTTAAATAACACTAAAAAAAAAATTTACTCATTATTTACAAAATAATTAAACAATTATTAATATATATATATATATATATATATACTATATATATATATATATATATATATATATATATATATATATATATATATATATATATATATATATATATATATATATATATATATATATATATATATATATATTTATAATTAATTAATTAATAACTTTTTATTATTATATTAAATTAAAATTAACTTTTTTTACCTGCATTAAAAGACACTCATGTGCTGATTCAATAGTTGATAGAGCTCTAAGAACAGTCAAACAATGATGAACTGTTGATAAAGCGCATCCATAACATTTGCCAACTCTTGGTAGGTTCTCACCTTGTTTATCCAATATATAAACCTCTTCAGGAACACCACTGAATGAAGGCAAGCGATAGAACTGAGGTTTATCATCAAGATAAGAAGGTGATGGAAGAATTTCAGGTGTTAAATACATTGCTTGTGATAAAGCTTCTTGTTGTTTCATATCATATTGTAAAAGTTCTTTTCTCAATGCTGTTACTGTTTGTGTTGCCTTACTCATATTGTCAAAAGAAGTTTTACAATCAACACAGTATAACTGTGCCACACTCTGTATTGAACGCCTAATTGATGTTATTGCAACAGATGCTGTTGAAGTAGTCTGAGAATTAGTAGAAAGAGGAGAGACATTCCACACTAAAGATTTGTCTGTAGGCAGCTCTTCCTAAAAAAATAGTTTCGAATCAAATTAAAACTTGCTATAAATTAAAAGTATTTTTTAATTATTTCTGCTTAAATTATTTTAAAAAGTTTTTATTGAATATAAACAACTTTTTTTCTATTTTGTATCAAATCAAAAATAAAAAAAGTATTTCAAGCCCTTTAATTTTAATGAGGGTAAAGTTGTTTATATTCAATAAACAACTTTACCCTCATTAATTATATCTTAAATTTTTCATTGTTTTTAAACTAAATAATTTTTTAGAATTTTTTTTGAGCTCTTTAAGATAAAACAAAACTTTGGACCTTCCTGCTTATGTTTTTATTCTTTAATCTTAGATAAAAATCGAAAAAACTCAAAGAACTTTTTGTCATTTTAAAAGCTAAGCGTATAAAAGTCAGTTCAAAAAATCGACTTCTTGATAATATTTTCACAATTACAGTGTTTTTCATAATTAAAACTACAAGTTATTGGTAATAACTTGTAGTTTTAATTATGAAAAACATTCCCGAGCAATGAGTTATAAGCAATTATGAAAAACATTCCCGAGCAATGAGTTATAAGCAATTAAAAAAACATTCCCAAGCAATGAGTTATAAGCAATTAAAAAAACATTCCCGAGCAATGAGTTATAAGCAATTAAAAAAACATTCCCGAGCAATGAATTATAAGCAATTATGAAAAACATTCCCAAGCAATGAATTATAAGCAATTATGAAAAACATTCCCAGGCAATGAGTTATAAGAAATTAAAAAAACATTAAAAAGTAATTTCCTTTTTGAAAAAACAAAATTAGTTACAAATTTACAGTGTTTGTAATACTATGTAAAATTTGGAATTTTGGTGGCAGGCAATTGAATCGTGACGAGGCATTAGCTTATTACATTGACTCTCAATGTTTTTCTTATGAACAAATGCAATGTAGTGACTAAAGGCAGGGCATATAGTGTTTCCATTTTATTATAGCCTATGGAAGTTGAAAAAGTTATGTTATCCATTAGATAAACATATCTCTGTTATAGAAACATATGCCGAAATTAACCTACAAGTCATACTTGATAAAACTACTGAATGCCTAATTGAAGAACAATGCAAAGTTTTAAAAATCCAACTTTTACTAAACCGTTAATTAAATATACTTAACCGTTACATTAATTATTAAATGGGGATGTGATGGGAGCTCTAGTCACAGCATTAAACACAAATAATGATGCTACTGATGAGTTTCTGTTTGTATTTTTATTTAATCTGCTGATATGACGGCCAAAATATTGATTGGCAAAATTCGCAATCTTTATTCACACCTTATTGCCGACCAATTAATTTTATTTTTTCAAAAGAAATAAATATTTTTACTATAACAGAAACTAACCAAGTCTTAAATGAAGTCTTAACTCATTTGAACATCTTGAACATCTAATCAAACTCAATGATAGATGCTAATCACCCTCAATGATAGATGGCAAAGTTTGAAATGCCTTGACTGACGCAAATTCCCAACAAATATGAACATAAATGCGGTGTGACTCCTAAAATAATAGACACTAAACTAAAAGACTTGGTTGTTAAAAAAGAACATTATGGGTTTAATATGTCTACTTTGCATGTGTGCATTCTATTTTTTGAGCACATGTTACATATTAGCTATTCTTTAGATATAAAAGGGTGGCAAGTAGGAAGCGATGCAGATAAATCAGTGTCTAAAAACGCTCCAAAGATATCAAATAAAAAACTAAAAACCATATGGGGCTTATTGGTAGATAAACTAAAACCTGGCTTTGCAAAAACAAATAATGGGAACACAGCTCACAAGTTTTTTTTAAAGTAAGATCTAAATGGAGTTTTTAGGGGTTTAGACGCCAATCTTATAAACTTTAATAATTAATTAAGAACACTTTCCTCTGGCTATGATATAAACTATTATGAATTTAAAAAATTTTGTTCTGAAATCAAAACTCTTTATCATAGTATATGTCTGTGGTACTATACACCTTTTACTATGCACTAAACACAAAAGTTATGAAAACATTGCTTTTTCGAATTGAACAAGTATTGAAAAATTCTTCAGTCACAAAGATTTTTGCAGATTTTGTGAGCATCATACAAAAAAAAAACTTATTTCTGCAAATAAAGATTAAGCCAATATGCTTTTGAAAACATCAAATCTTGTCATCAACTCAGACGGACATTTTAACCTAAAAAATGCGCCTCTTAACCTTAACCTTCTTAATGTAACCTACTGGATTCAGGCAGAAATGGAAGCTTTTATTCTTTCTTGTTGGTTTCTAGTCAAGCCTCATTCAAATACATGGTTTTCAGCATCTTGTGCAACTGCTATATCTAATTGTAATCATTTTTTTTCATCTTTTTCAAAAGAACAACTCTCTTAAGAACAAACAACTATTTATTATCGCAAGAAATCAATATAAAAAGGTGCTGTCAGATGCTAAGCTCCATTATATTTTTATTATTTGATTTTTTATCTTTTCATACAAGACATATTATTTTTAAATAGCCAAAAAATAGAAACCACCAATTGATTGAAAATAATAAGATAGGAGATGTGAACAGGCAAAGCTAGATCCAGTGCAATAGAAAGTACATAACAAAATTTTAAAAAATTGACAGAATATTAGTTGGCTTTGTCAAACCATCTCTAAGTCATTGAGATAATACTTACATACAAATATGTATCAGTGTCAAGATCTTTATAACCAGTCTTTAACTGAAGGTCACCAACAATTTATACTAAAGCCATTTTAACAGCATCTGTTTAAATAGAATTTAATATGTTCAAAGAATGTAACTTTGACCAACATCAAGTTTATGAAAGTCTAAGTCATATCGTAAAAGTAGTTTAGTTCAGTTTTAGTTTTTTCCAAGACTTGTTGAACCGAAATAAAATATGCACCACCGGCACCCTGACACAATATATTAAAAACTTTTAAAATAGAGTCAGATGTATGTTCACTGAGTTTTACAAACTTGTGTGATGTACTTAACAAATATTTTTCTAATTCAACTAACCCTTTTAAACTGCTTTAGATTTTTCAAGAGTCAGTATTTTATTTCTTTTATTTCCATTATGAAATTCCATAGCTTTTTTGATAAAGAAAGTAGTGCAGACTGATGTCATTCAAATGAATTCTTGATGTGATGCCGTGTTTCAAAGATATGATCTTTTATCTTTTAAACTTTTATTATCACCAAGTTTATGAAAAAATTGAAATTTAAACGTAAAAGAATAACAAATGCTTTCCTAATGTCATCTTACTAAAATTCTTCTTAATGTCATCTCACTGAAATTCTTTTTAATGTCATCTCACTAAAATTTTTAATGATGTCATCTCACTAAAATTTTTAATAATGTCATCTCACTAAAATTCTTCTTAATGTCATCTCACTAAAAATTATCATTATTGACCTTAAACTGTATTTCTTGATTTTTTTCATCAATCCAATGATTCTTATGATTTTCTATATATGAACATAATATTTTTTATATATAAACATTAGTGATTAAATTTTTAATTTAATCATTAAGCTAAAAATCTTTTAAGTCAATCATTGGCTTTTTAGTCACCATGGTTTTTCTACAACAGCTTCAAAGAGAGCGAGAGACTTAACATTGACTTTATTGTTGTTACAAAGCATTGCAACACAGCTTTTATTTGCATTTGAAATTGGTCTAAGTATAGAATTGATTACTTCATACTAAAAATCTCGAGGTAATCATGAAAACTATAATAACAGGTCCACCAAAATGACATCATTTTATTTATGTGGATTTATGTCAACTAAAATTAGAATAATAAATAAATAAAAAAGCAATAACATAAATAATTTCAATTAACATTAAAAAAAATTAAAAAAAATTTCTTTTATATTCTCATAATATATAAGAAAATTTCTTTTATATTCTCATTGTTATCGAAAAAGCGCCAGAGCTTTAGTAAATGCATGTAGTTTTAACTTATGTAACACAAATTTAAATGTGCTTTAGCTAAGCATCATTATTCAAAAGATTAAATGTTATAACATAACATTTAATATTGTTTTACATATAATTTCTGATAAATTGGTATTCAACATACACTTTATCTACTATTAAGACATGCTGTCATCAGAATAAGTTGAAAAATGCCTATAAATGTTATAACAAAATATATCTTAATTACAGAAATATTTGCGCATTCAATATTTGGTGCTTAAACGTCTTCGGAAACTTTATTTCACATAACAAAGAAATACATTGATATTTGTTCAAACTACAAGATTTGAATATGTGTAAAAAACGTTTCTAGCTTTTTATGGGATTTTGGAGTGAACCAAAAAATTTCAAAACTCTAAATTTTGATTGGAAAAAAAAATATTATTGATTTCATTAAAGATAAGTGCAAGAACATCTACAAGTAAAGACAACCTAGATAAAAATTCATTAAATTTAATACAAAACTAATTTATTTCTAATTCTTGTTGCAATTTTTACATTTTGATTAAATGAGTTTACAAAACTTAAAACAATTTTTTTTCTGAAAAAAAAGTTATTACACTAGATAAACTTTTTTTTTTTTTTTTTTTTTGTATCATTAATACAAACTAAAATTAAAAGTTACCCAATCAAAAAAAATAAACTATAAAAGATAAACATTGACCTCAGCACTATGAGCGCCATCACTACTTGTTCTTAGAATGCTTTCTAACATTTGTCTATGGCCAGTAAGAGCTTGGTAATATTGATCTGCTTTTTCTAAGGCAGAATTAACTGCTTTCAATGCTTTTTGTCTTTCTTCTTCATTGTTAATGGTGTCAACAGTACAAGAAGAGTGGGCACTAAGTACAAAATCAAATTTTGCGTACTTACAAAAACCACAAAGAGTACATAAAAATGGATCCCTTTCATCATAGTTGATAGCTCTATAAAATAAATACATTTAATATTACTAACAAATAATTAATGCATAATACAGTAGTTCACACGTTGCTAAGTCATTATAAGCAGGTCAATAAAAGTAAGTCATTATAAGCAAGCCAATAAAAGTAAATCATTATAAGCAAGTCATTATAAGCAAGCCAATTAAAGTAAGTCATTATACAACTTTATAAAAATTGTTTTAGTTTATTGTTTACTCTTAAACATTTTTCATGTAAAATTAAAATTAACTTGGATCAAAAATTTTAATATAAAAATTCCCTCAAACATAATGTAGTTTGTTTTTCACTCATAAATAAAAATAGTACCTGCACTTATGACATTGATATACATTTTCTCCACAATTTCCGCAAATACCAGGATGGGCTGGCACTGATGCACTGCATCGCGGGCATTGTAAACTTTCAGCAGAAAACTTAAAAAAAGTTACAAAATATCTGAAAATAAATTTCTTTGTACTACATCTACATTTTTTTCAAAACAAGAAAAAAAAAAAGAAAAAAAAAAAAACTGTACCTGCACATTTTCATAAAAAGAAGAAAACTCAATCATGAGATTACAAGCTGTGATTGGAAATGCGAACTCAACCTAAAACAAATATATATATATATATATATATATATATATATATATATATATATATATATATATATATATATATATATATATATATATATATATATATATATATATATATATATATATATATATATATATATATATATATATATATATATATGTATGCATGTATGTATGCATGCATGCATGCATGTATGTATGCATGCATGCATGCATGTATGTATGCATGTATGTATGCATGCATGCATGTATGTATGCATATATGTATGCATATATGTATGTATGACAATATGTATGCATGTATGTATGCATGCATGTATGCATGTATGCATGTATGTATGTATGTATGTATGTATGTATGTATGTATGTATGTATGTATGTATGTATGTATGTATGTATGTATGTATGTATGTATGTATGTATATAAACTGTGTTCATGACTATATTAAATAATTAGATTAGAGTTATACTTTCACATCTGTTTGACCCTGTGTTAGAAAAACTTTCTTTGCTTTTTGCCATATTCCACTTCTAACAATAAAAGAGTAAAATAAAAAACTTATAACTTTAAAAAACTTATTAAATTTTTTTCAAGTGAATTTTATGGACCTACTTTTTGAGCTCAACAACAGATGGAACGGGTTTGTTATTGTAGAAAATTATCATGCTTTTGACCTAGAAAAACAAAAAATCTTTTTACCAGGAAATACTAAAATATGAACTTAAACAAGAACATCAAAAATATTTATTCAAAAACAAAATACATACAAAAATTAACAATATAAACAATAATAATGAAATTAATAATAAACAATGATTGCACTTACCATTTTTGCTTTTTTGATATCAGAAATTTTTAACACTATTTTTGATATTGTGTGATTGGTTGTCAGTTTTATAAGTTGTGACTTTGGTGTATGGCGAATGTCTGACTTGATTGTTGACAATTTGTAGCTCTGGAAAATTTATATTCATTTGTTAATAAAATTAATTTGATAACTTTTAAAGTTAAAAATTATAAAATGTAATGTAATATATAAATAATGTATATCCATCATATGCATCAGTTTAATAAAAAACACAATTAAAACTAAATATCTTTTTATCTTTTTTTATTTCATCTTCATAATAAAAAATAAACTCAGTTTTGAATTATGTACAGAAGATAAGGGTTAATATATCGGAGATAAATTCTGTCATTTCCTCAATTAAATTATGATAAAAGTAAAAAACATAAACTTATATTTTAATATAAAATTTTTTAAAATTAAAAATATAAACAAAAAAATACTAAGAATTTAAGAATAAAATGTTTTAAATATATTTAATGCCACTGTCAAATAAAGAAAAATAATTCAACCAATTCACAATAAAACTAAAAATTTATGAATTTATATATACCAAGCCTTCTTAGGAGACGCGCATGATTACACGCTTCAATGACCATACATACAGTATTTTATTTTGACAACTTGGCCATGGGTTCTTGCACAATTTAAGTTAATACATTTAAAAAATGCATAGAATAAAAAAATGCTTAATTACTCATTATTTTAAAATTTGAAACTTTGATATTTTCTAATGTCTACAAAGCAAATAAAAAAACAAACCAACAAAAACAAAAACATAAAAAAAAAAAAAAAAATCAGTTAAAAGAATTTGAACCTTAATTCAATGCTGATATAACAGACGCCCCTCATAAAATTTACAATTAAGCGACCTAAGCATCTTTGAGAAAAAATTATTTGCTTTAAACTATTAATTGAAACAATTTTAAATTAAATTAATTAAGTTTGAACTACTAGTTAGGACGCTTCTAAATTTAAAAATGTATATGCTTTTATTTTCTCTAGTTTATCCTTTATTTTATCATTTGCTAATTCCATTTCTCTTTTCAAATATATATATCGCCTATAATGAATAGCCTATGAATATTAATAGTGCGCATAGTTACGCGTATTGTTTTATAGTTACGGTACGGTTCTGTATCTGTAAAATACACTTTTTAAGTAGTTTCTAGACTTTTCTTTACAGCGTGCTTACTTACAGATTTCCCTTCAACCTTTCATGGTACGAGTTCAAAATATCTAAGTTGACATTAAGTAGATAATGTTTAGTAGCTTAAAATTATAGGTAATCTAAATTTTTTTTTAAATTTAAAAGTAATTAATTTATTGTAATCTTTTTTAAATTGTAATTTTAAATTTAAAGCTTCGTGTTATAGATTACTTTAATTCTTAATTTGTGTCTAGCGTTAAAATATATTTATGGGTAGTTTCATGCTTTCACTTAGTTTTGGTTATTGGGATAAAAGCCATGACAATATTTTGTTATAAATTTATCTTAATTTAATTTTTATTGAAAATTTTGTTATAAATAAAATTTGTCTTTAATATTGTTAATACTTTAGCTCTTTGAAAAAAAAATATGTTTCTGGCTCTTCAATAAATATAAAATTATTTGTCTTGCATAAATGAATTTTGGTTTAGGATTTAATTGTGTTAGTTTATGTTTGTCTATCTGTAATTTATTTAGGTTATTAGAAAATTCATGTTTACAGAGTTGTTATAAATCATAATCGAGTTGTTAAACCAAGGAAATTGTGGAGGTTTATTTATCATATATACTATATATATTATATAATTATATTGGAGGGAGTAAGTTTAGAAGTCTTTTTAAATTTTTAAAAAGAAATAAAAATACTTTTCAATATATATCTGTTTTCTTTGAGGTAGAATTAAAGTTTCAGTTTTTTAAAACTTTAAATTAACTTTACAATGTTAAAATGGTTTAAACGGATTTTTGTAAATGAATTTAATCCTCAAAGATTAAATTTTTTTTATTATTGAAGAAATTAAACTAGATTTAAGAATAAGTCGACTTAAATGTTTGTTTGTTTTTCTATTTAGATGATGACAATATTGAAGCAAGTAAGTTAAAAAGCATTTTTAAATTTTTAAAAAGAAATTTTTTCTTTGTTTTCTTTGAGGTAGATTTAAAGTTTCAGTTTTTTAAAATCATATATATTTTAAAATCCTATATATAACTCATATATCTTTGTTTTTCTATTTAGACGTTGGTAATAATATGAAACAGGTAAGTTATAAAGCATTTTAAAATTTTTAAAAAGAAATAAAAATACTTTTTATTATATATCTGTTTTCTTCGAGGTAGATTTAAAATTTCAGGTTTTTTAAATCATATATATTATAAGATTTACAAATGAGTCGACTTGAATGTTTGTTTGTTTTTCTATTTAGACGTTGGTGATAATATCGAAACAAGTAAGTTATAAAGCATTTTTAAATTTTTAAAAAGAAATAAAAATACTTTTCAATATATATCTGTTTTCTTCGAGGTAGATTTAAAATTTCAGGTTTTTAAAATCATATATATTATAGTATTAAATTCTTTTTTACTTTAAAAATATCTATATTATAGTTACACTGAGTCGTAGAAAAAAAATTAAAGTTTATTAATAAGGTAGTAGATTATTAGAGTAGATTAAATTGTTTGATCTATTAATTAACTTAATAACGTACTATTAATATGAAGATTTATTTTGGTTGTTTGTTTGTTAAAATTTAGTTAGAGTTTATTTAAAATTTAAATTCTTTAGTTAATCAAGAGAGATCTAATAAAGGTATTAATTACATTAGTTGAATGTGGCATTTAATATGTATTTTATCGATATAAGGAATAAAATAATAAGGAATAGAAAAATTTTAAAAATTTGCTCTGGAATTTGTCAAAAGAGTGTTGTGTTATGCTTCATTTTAAGGTATCTAAATATATATTCATTCAAAATTTTTAATTTTGTTTTTAAATGGTTTATTATTTTTCACTACTTTAGATAAATATATACTGACTGACATAACTTCATTTTTATTAACAATGTCGTGCATTGTAGTCTGCATTCTTTGTTACATTAAAAATAATTGATGCTAATAAATGTTCTTTTATAGTTGTTAAAAGTTTGCATATATGTTTGCATTTATATTGTGATCAAAGTTAAAATTTTTTTGATAAATACGTGTATGTGGTGATACTACTCAGGTATCACCGCAGCTTATCTCTATCAGGTACATTGATTTTTAATTCACATATGATGTTTTTCTTTGTATTTACTTATTCATTACATTTTTAACTTCAGATTTATGGTGTATTTATTTGCTATAGAAGAACAAATCATTTTGAATTTTTTAAAAATATCTACACCAATCAACATTTAAAATTCAATGTAGCATATACCAGCTTCTAGGCTTTTTTGATGCTTTTCTTATTCAAGTGGTTTCATAAGCAAGGTCTACAAGCATATTTGAGATAAAAAGTTTTTCAGCTTTCAAGGAGTATCAATGTTGTTCTCTGTATACTTTAATTTGTTTAAATAGAGTAGTTTTAGTAAATAAATGTTTGTTTGTTCTTGGTTTTTTACTTATTTGTTATCAGATTCTTAAGAATTAATCAACTTAGCAAGCAAGATTTATTTTATTTTTTAGTGCAATTGGAAAGAGCTAAAGTGCTTTTTAGTTACTTCAAATCATTTGTTTTTATTTTTTAAATAGAAGGGTTAATAATAAAAATATTTAGACAGTCGAACTGTTACTGATTTGAGTAAGTTTAATTTTTTGTTTAATTTTATATTAGATATATATTTTATGTATTTAACATGAAAAACTGACTGTAATTTTTGACAGGTAAGTTTATATACTTAAATGTGCCTATATATCGGAATATTTTATATTTCTCTGAATCTATATGAATATTATCTCAGAAAAAATTAAGAATAGAAAAAATTTGAATATATATACATACATATATATTACTTTAGACTGACATTGCTTCATTTTTTATACAAGATTCTGCATTTATTATTTTTGTGCATTAAGATTGTGCCTGAAGGCTTTCTTAATTTAGCAAAGAATTTAGAACACAATGCAAATAACTTTGCACTGTGTTCTAAATTCTTTGCTAAATTAAAATAATGTAAATAAATTTTGTTTTATATTTTTCAGTTGTAAAAATATAAAACGTTCATTTATTCAGTTGTAACAGTAGCATAACCACTGGTAATATATATTTAATGATAACAGATTTATAATATTAGGCTCGAAGAAGTTATTAGTGTAAATGGTTATAGGTGACTTGAAATTGTTGTCATATGAAAGAAATAGATCTAGGCATGATAAAATTAATTGTCGTTGAAATATAAGAAATTTTGCTTGATGAACCAAAAACTTACTTGGCAGAATTCAGTGTCAAGCGCTGTTGATGTCTATTATTTGACTTTACATTAGACACTTTAAAATAAAGCAAAGTATGAATTTTACTATTTATAGTAACAAATAATAAAAATTTCAGTTTTGAATGATTTTTTTTTTTTTTTTTTTTTTTTTTTACTTTTGTAATCTTAATATAATTGTTCATTTTTTTTTTAGTTGTCTTTGTCATCACTTGATTATTTTGCTTACTGTTGAAACATGGTTTTAATTTTGTAAATTTAATATGATGTGAAATTTACAATATTAATCATTTGTCAACAGTTAGAAGCTGGAAATAAATTAAGAAATGCTAGAAATTAACTTTTAGTTAAGGTAAAAATAATTTTGTTTATTGGTAGCATAATAAAACCAGTTACTGTTATTTATTGCATGACTTTTTTACTTTTTCTAACATGGTGTTTTTAAAACACTTCCTCTCTCTATTAGATGAGACTTAAATAAGAATTAGTATTGAGAATTGTAGAGAGAGAATTGATTGGGGGGTCGTATGGGTTGAATGGGCGGTCGTAACTAAAAACCTTTAAAAATATGGAGAATATTGTAGTTTTGCGCATTAATATCAAGTTACTTAATTTTTATTTATGTGTTTAACTAATTAGTTAGCTTAGTCTGTGTTTGCAACACTTTTGAGGAAAGAAAGAAAACATTTTTATATAAGTAGATCATTGTTTTACATTTTAATATTTTATTTTATTCACCAGGCCACCATTAAAGCAAAAAGAGGGAAGGAACCTCTTTATTAGAGCCAAAATATTTAGAAAAATTAAATTTCGAGTTACAAAAGGAATTTTTAGTAAATGGTGGCAAATTACCGTTTACTAAAAATTTTATGAAATAAAGAGGCCAAATAAATAATATACAAATGGTCTGTGTTGAACAGACTTAACAAGACCCGGGTCGGGTCAGCTTGGTTTACAAATTTTTATGTCTACTTATCTCTTATAATTTTTATTTTAGTTTGTTCTATGGTGCATTTATGTATTAAAAAATTTGTTATACCTATGTTTGATCGTAAATTAAATTTTCTTTTGTTTGAAAGGTATTTGTACTCAGTTGCGTAGTATAATAAACTTTGTTATTTTTTATAAATTTATTTAAACGTGTGCATTTAATATTTTTAAGTTAACAATTTTCTTTTCTAAAGAACAATTAATCAAGGGGATAACAAAAAATTGATAACTCCTGTATAATATAAGTTAACTTCATTTTAATCTTAATGGTTCGTGTTATAAAAATTATTTTAAGGATTTAGTTGACACTTTCGTCAATTTAAAGTATAACCAAGTGTTATTATTTTGCGTCAGTAACTAAAAACGTATTGTGTTAAACTTAGGAAGGTCGATGAAAATGGTTCTGCCTTACACTGTTATGACCTGTGCCATTTGTAAATTACTTAATAATGTTAAGTAGTAGTTGGTAAATTATTTTACCTCATAATTTTTATGTTAATTTTACAGATGGATTAATTTTTTCAAGCTGAAGGCAATTTTCTAAAAGGGTTAGTTAAGGTTTTGCATTTAGTTAAGGTTTTGCAAGATTAAATTGTGGAAAACAGCTACTATAAATTAATTATGTAACAGACCGACCAAAACCCGTATTACGGGTTGCCTTTTGCTAGTATATATATGAATATATATATATATATATATATATATATATATATATATATATATATATATATATATATATATATATATATATATATATATATATATATATATATATATATATATATATATATATATATATATATATATACACTAAAGCATGTTTTGATAAGCATTTGCTCACTTTTTTTGCTTACCTTAAGCTATACCGTTTTTTTCGAAAAAAAAGGAAGAAAAAACGAAGAATGATGAATAAAACGATTGCTTCCCCATCCCAAACCCTCAGTCGATGTAGCAGCACTCCACTGCAAGTCAGGCTATTTGTCAGTCGATGTATGTACTGAAGCCCCCAACAGCAGGCTATTTCAGTAAGACGTCAGATTGCTTACCTTAGTACGCAATACTATTTGTATATATATATATATATATATATATATATATATATATATATATATATATATATATATACATATACATATATTAGGTATATGACAAAAAAACTTTTTTCAAAATTTTAATTTTCCTGATGTTGCATTTGATAAACTTTTACCAATAGATCACTGTTTTGAGGTTTATTTCATTGGAGCACAAAAAAACCTTCCGCACCTAGCACCTCACCACTTTAAACTTTTTCAATTTTTCACTTGATTTTATACCCAGTTCTTACTTCCTTATGCTTGACTATGCTTGAATATAACTACAAGTTAGAGAGCGTCAAACAGTTTAAAAAGTTAATTAACATATAATGAAAAAGTTCAATAGTTTTAAATTGTTTTTATGTTATGTAATTCAATTTTAAATAACAAATTTTAACGACTGTTTTTCAAATTAATGCGCGTTTGTTGTTGTTTGTTGTTGAGTATTTTTTAATGTTCACTGTCAACCAGAAAAACGTCACGAGTGCTTCAAAGTCTGACTGAGGATGGAGTTTGTGTCCCAACAACATCACAGTCTGGAGTCTGGCGTCGAACAATCAGAGATGCAGAACAAGTTAAGAACCGCCTCATGGAACTGATCTCTGAAGAGAAATTTTCATTGCATTTTGATGGTAAGAAAATTGACAAGACTGAGTACTAAGTTGTGTGCTTGAAAAATGACAAAAGAACATTACAACTTGGCATTTTGACAGTAGATCATCTGCAAGCATATATAAACCACTACAGGACCTACTTGATGATTACAATGCATGGAACAGTATTCAGATGATCATCTCTGACACAACAGCTGTAAATACTGGTCGCAAGAATTGAGTTGTAGCCAAGCTTCAGAAAAAATTTTGAGACAAGGGATTCAATGAACCTCAATACATCGGCTGCCAACATCACATTCTTGATCTTGTTCTACGACATGTGTGGGATTTCTTTTTTCCTATACAGTCACAGTCGCCTAATACTAACTACAAATTTATTGATGAGATTATGGAGCATTACGATGATTTAAAAAATGCCTACAAGCGCACAGCAGTGGTAGCAGAGTATGAGAACCTTGGCTGGAGAGATGACTTTAAATTTCTTTTTCAGCTTTGTGAAGCATACAAGTTTTACAAAAATGAGGAAAAATGACTGTTTTACAAAAATGAGTTTTACAAGTTTTACAAAATTGAGGAAAAATGTATCAAATGGCACAAGCTGCCATCACTGCACAGTGCCAGGTGGAACTCAAGAGGCATTTTTGCGCTTATTGCATTTTTCATTCTTCCAAACTGGCGAGAACAGCTGAGGATAACTTGCGATTTCGTTGCAACTATATGGTCGCGGGCCTGGTTTTCAAACCAGCACTATGCAGAGGCAGCTTATGAAGACCTGCAGTCAGCAATACCCCAACTTAAGTGTTCCAAAGCTGTGAAATGTTTCTCTACCCACTGGAAGAAGGAACCATCAGTGCTTGATGTGCCTCGAACCAACATAGTAGCCGAGAGAGCTGTAAAGTTGATGGGGAACATTCATTCTTCTTGCAGAACAAACAAATATCTTAACTGTAAATTTATTAATACTAATACGCAAATCTGAAAGATTATTAACATCACTACAAATGCTCTAGGACAGTGTATTTCTCATGTATTTCTCATGTGTATTGTACATAAAGTTGACATATTATAATTAATAGCCTTTGGGCTGCTATGTCTTAGGTGCGGGAAGTTTTTTCAAAGTATGGTGAAATCAATGTTTCTGTGATTTATAGGCAAAAGTTCATCATTTAGAACCCCAGGCTAATTGATTTAAAATTTATCATATACCTAATATATATATATATAAACACACACAGAGCGTCACATAAGAGATAAATGGATTTGAGAAGTAACTAATTTTTTACATTTAAAGTTAATCATGTTAATTTATAATTATGTTAATTTTTTTTAAAGTAATGTATCAGTATAAACCATTAAAGTGGCGTCTACTTTGAACTTTACTAAACTGTGAATTTAAGTTGAATTTATTCTGCAGTTTATTCATATAAACAAATTTTATATATATCCTCAAACACAATCTTACAAAATAAGCATGTAAATTCGTTATTTTTGGGCAATAACATTCGCTTTATTCTCCAAAAACGTACCAATAATCCTTTGCACTGTTTAATTTAATTTTATTGTTTAGTTATACAATCTTTAAAAAACTAAGTATATTAAACTAAGGAATTATTGATTATTTGAAGCCCTTTTTCTTTTTGTGTCAATCATTATCTTAACAAAAAAAAAAAAATTATTGTAAAATATTATATATATATATATATATATATATATATATATATATATATATATATATATATATATATATATATATATAAATAAAACATCAGGTCACAAAAACTAAGAATATAAATAACCCACTTACATTAAATGCAACTTCAGGATTATTACAGACAGCACAAGGATCACTTTCCAAATAATAACCCTCCAATTCAACAGAGTTGCAAAGCTTTCTGATAAGGAAAAAGAAAAAATTTTGTTTATTTTGATTTAGATAAATAAAACAAATAACTAAAATTTTAATTTGTTTAAAGAAACATTGAATTTTTGAAAAAGTTATGATTTATGTGTGTATACATATATATATATATATATATATATATATATATATATATATATATATATATATATATATATATATATATATATATATATATATATATATATATATATATATATATATATATATATATATATATATATATATATATATATATATATATATATCAGCGTAGAAAACAACGGCCGGTCAATGGTCAATGACTGCCTAAAAAAAACTAAAATTGCTACTTTGACCTTTTTGTTTGTCTGTAAACATCAAATCTTGCAATCAATTTTTGAGTCACTTGCTGATGATAGATTTTCTTCAAATTTTGCATACATATTCTTGCTTTTATGACAATATTCAATAATTAGTTTTGCAATAAGTCAATTAATTTAGTTAATTTTAATTAAGTTTATTTTTTATATGGAAAGCAGAATAATAACTTTTAAAATAAGTATATTATTTGTTTCCTATTTATACACGCATTTACCTTATTTGGATAAGACGTTGACTTTGTAAATGGAATGTCTGTGCTTTAAAAGTTAACATACCCATATTTTGTGTGTGTTTAGTTTTAATTAAGAAGAACTATTACTCAGATGAAAATTTAAACAAAGAAAAGAAAAATTTTGACAGTCTTAAAAAAATTGACCCTCAATTCCACATGTTAGCCAGTCAAATTGACCACTTTCCTTTGATTTCTTATTTTTACACTGTGTATATATATATATATATATATATATATATATATATATATATATATATATATATATATATATATATATATATATATATATATATATATATATGAAAAAAAAGCAAAAAAAAAAAAAAACAAAAAAAAAAATTACCTATACAAACTAGCATTCGGGTGATTCATTAAAACTGAGTTAGCTTCATGTAACAAAGACATTGCCATCGTGACGTAATTATTAACCTAGTATTATAAATATATAAACATGTGTGGAACATGCGCGGAAGCAAAATATATAAAAATGTGTGGGAAAAAATACAACTATAAAATATTGTTTCAAACAAAACAAATAAATATATAGTGATAGAAAAAACTGTTTAGTATACGTTTTTATTGTGTAGAATGGTTTACTGCAAAAACATAAAAAAATTTATTTTGATGACTTTAATTAAATAATCTTGATAAAATCAAAAACTAATATAAATAAACAAATATTAATATAAACAAACATAACAAATTCAAAATATATAAACAAATATATAAAACATACATTGCATCTCATAGTTTTAATTGTAAAAAAACCAAGTAGATCAGTAAATTGGGTTGCTCGATGCCCACAGCTTGGTATAACATTCCATAATGTCCACATAAGTTCTGTTAAACCCACTTGTTGCTCTGCATCAATATTTCTTAAATAAAACAAAACTTTTCAAAGTCAACTTTTTAACAAATTCTAATTTTTTGAAGAAAAAACAACAAACAAACAAATATGAACATTATTAGTGTCAAATTTCATTAAGTCAACTTGTTTCTCCGCGCAGCGGCCTTGTTCGTCAAGGTTCATGTTTCGGGGTAAGAGTTGAGAGAGGGTTATAACCACTATTAAGTAGCCTCCTTGTCTGTAGTGGCCTTCTCGGCCTTGAGGAGGCGAATAACAAAAAAAAAAAAAAAAAAAAAAAAAAAAAAAAAGTTGGATGTCAATTAACAATACTCAATAACTAAATATTTTAATTGGTAATTATCTATGTCACTCTAATATCAATTTATTTGAACAAAAAATTTATTAAAATGAATTATTTTTATTACTATTATTACAGGGTTCATGGCAGCTTTAGAAATTCATTTTCTCTGATTTTCACCCGATTCAAGTTCTTTTTCCCTAATTTCAGGTGGTAAAAATTGTCCTCGTTAATGTTGAAGGATATAATACTTTCTCAACTGAATCCATGTTCTCCTAACACTTTATCAGAAAAGGCTGGTGAAAGATACTTTAAGCTAATCAAGTGGATCAATAAAGACTTGTACTTTTTCTTAGCATTTTCTGGAGTTATTGTTATCAATGCATTAAGGTTAAAAACCTGAGAATTGCATACAATGATAGACCCAAATGGTGTTCACTCCATGAACTTTTCAAATAACCGTACATACAAGCTAGTGCAATCTTTTTGAAAACTTTGAATATCGGTAATTGGTATTATTTTTTTCTTTTGTAAAGAAACTAATCTTGTTTCAGCTGCAAATCCTAGTTTGATTTGATTTCCCTTAAGTATATTATCTTTTTTATGAAAATCAACTTTTGGTATAGACCAATTATCAATAACTTTGTGTTTTACAAACAAGCTCAGTATAGTCTGCAACAGTTTTTCTTAGTCACTATACATGAATAGAATCATTGGAAAAGTTAATATAAATACCTGCTGCATGATTATTAGACAATTCAAACAATTTTTTACATCTTTTGCAATGAGTTTTTTTTTTTTTTTTTAATTAGTTTTAGCATGAGCATCAGGAACTAACCAATCTTTATAACTATGATGTTGTAACTAATCTTCTTAAAAAGCTTTTCTGAAGTCATATCTTATATTGTTATATTTAATTAAATATTTATCTAGACATATGGTTACTATATATTATAAAAGTTATAAAACCACTAGACTGAGCAACTTTCAATAAAAATAAAAACTCAAAATTTGTATATTGCAAAATTACTTCAAGTTATAAAACATTCACTGAGTTTTTCCTGTTTTTACAGATTTTTAAAAAAGTTCCCTGACTTTTCCAGGTATTCCCTGATTTTTCTGAATTTTTCCCTAGTTTTCCAGGTATTCCCTGAGTGCCGTGAACCCTGTATTATTATTATCATCATTTGTAGTAAGTATAATGCTTAATTTTATTAAACATTATATTTACTACTTTAAACTATATAAATATTAGCTATATTTAAAAAGAAAAAATTATCTAAGCATTTTATCTTCATGAGTATCCTTAAAGATTATTAATTGAACTCTTGCAGTGTAAATTACAAAACTTAATATGACAAAAATTAAATTCTAAAGCCAATAATTTTATTGTTAATTGATTTTTAGCTTTGCATTAGGTTCATTAGAGATTTTGTGACTAATGCACAAACCTTTGACACCATCTAAACAGGTGTATTATACTTTCAAAATAAAAAATTTTATGTCATGTTTTTGAAGTGCAACCACGTAAATTTAATACTCTTTCAAAAAATAATAAATGTTAGCAAGGAATAAAATATATATACATCTAGTGTATATATATATATATATATATATATATATATATATATATATATATATATATATATATATATATATATATATATATATATATATATATATATATATATATATATATATATATATATATATATATATATATATATATATATACATATACATACATACATATATATATATATATATATATATATATATATATATATATATATATATATATATATATATATATATATATATATATACTATATATATATATATATATATATATATATATATATATATATATATATATATATATATATATATATATATATATATATATATATATATATGTATATGTATGTATGTATATATATATATATATATATATATATATATATATATATATATATATATATATATACGTCAAAGTGCTGACTTAAGTGTAGTAATGTCAGCCCTCTGACGTTATACTGAAATAGGGAACTACTAGAGGTTTCAGTACACACATCGAATGACTATGGCTAATGACCATTAAAAATCAAACGGTTCACTAATATTATGAAAAAAAGACTATTTCTAAAGTATATCATGTTGAGTCTTAAAAGAAGTGATATTATATAAAAATTTAAAAAAAAAATCATAATTTTATAAAAAAACCCTACTAAAACAAAACTCATCAAATTAAAATGCTTAGTCTATTTAATTTACACATTAAAAAACCATTTCATTCTTTGTTTTAACATTTGTACTTTTTTTTTTATGTTTGAAAAGATAAGCATTTAAAAAAAACAAAAGTTTATTAATACTTATTATAAAAATTCGTTAGAAGTGTTTTGTTACTTCATTAATATATATATATATATATATATATATATATATATATATATATATATATATATATATATATATATATGTATGTATATGTATATATATATATATATATATATATATATATATATATATATATATATATATATATATACGTCAAAGTGCTGACTTAAGTGTAGTAATGTCAGCCCTCTGACGTTATACTGAAATAGGGAACTACTAGAGGTTTCAGTACACACATCGAATGACTATGGCTAATGACCATTAAAAATCAAACGGTTCACTAATATTATGAAAAAAAGACTATTTCTAAAGTATATCATGTTGAGTCTTAAAAGAAGTGATATTATATAAAAATTTAAAAAAAAAATCATAATTTTATAAAAAAACCCTACTAAAACAAAACTCATCAAATTAAAATGCTTAGTCTATTTAATTTACACATTAAAAAACCATTTCATTCTTTGTTTTAACATTTGTACTTTTTTTTTTATGTTTGAAAAGATAAGCATTTAAAAAAAACAAAAGTTTATTAATACTTATTATAAAAATTCGTTAGAAGTGTTTTGTTACTTCATTAAAAAGTGTTTCGATAATTTCGATAAGCATTTAAGATCAAACTTATTTAATAATACCAGCTTTTTAAAACATTTGTCTTTTTTTACTCAACGAAATTCTTTATCTTTTTAAATGTATTAACTTTAATTATTCTTGTATTAAAATTTGTTTCATCATTTATAAAACAAAACAATTTTTTTTAATAACATCTATTATAAAAAATGCACACTTAAACAATTTATATATTACAAATTGAAAAAATATATACAACATTCGATTATACTTTTAAAAAAAACCATTATCAGTAAATTGTTATTTTATTTAAAAGCACTTTGCTGAGAGAGAGAGAGAGAGAGAAAGAGAGAGAGAAATGAAACCCAAAACAGACACACATTAAAAAAATAAGACTTACATATATATATATATATATATATATATACATATATATATATATATATATATATATATATATATATATATATATATATATATATATATATATATATATATATATATATATATATATATATATATATATATATATATATATATATATATATATATATATATAGAGAGAGAGAGAGAGAGAGAGAGAGAGAGAAAATATGAAACCCAAAACAAATGACACACATTAAAAAAATAAGACTTACATAAATATCGAATGAACTAGACTGTGAACTTTCCAACGCAACTGAGATGAATTTGATTCCAATAAAAAACTCTTTATGAACAAAAAAATGGTTGTGCCATAACAGCGAGAAAACACAAGTTTTACCAACTCAACTGAAAGACCTTTTTTTTTAAAAAAAATTAGTTATCATATATATATATATATATATATATATATATATATATATATATATATATATATATATATATATATATATATATATATATATATATATATATATATATATATATATATATATATACATATATATATATATATATATATATATATATATATATATATATATATATATATATATATATATATATATATATATATATATATATATATATATATATATATATTTTGTTGCAAAAACTACTAATAGCATAATTGTTATCAGAAAAACTTACTTTTGCTTTTGTTTTCTTTTTTATCATCTTTATTCTGAGGTGAACTGAGAGCTATAAATATCAACTCAACTACCTTTGATGATATATGCTCATCCAATTGATAGCTGATTTCCATTAGAAATGGTAAAACTGCTAAATTATATACAAATATAATTTAAGAAAATTAACAGAACCATATAAAAACTAAACTTTTTTTATCTTGCTTTAAACTAATTTTAGTTTAGTTTGTAACCTAAACAATAAATTGCTATTTATGATATTAGTACATACTACTTTCTTTCTTGCAAAACAATAACCAATTTTCATTTCTTGCAGTAGCAATGTCAATGCATGCACTAATTTGCTCAGTCTGATTAAAAAAAAAAAAAAAATTATTATAGAATAAAACATCAAACGCTATAAACCAAAAAAAAAAAAAAAAAAAAATGTAATCAATTACAACAGCAAACTATCATGAATCAAAACAACAAATCATAATGAATTAAAATTTGTAATTTTGCACTAAAATTTTGTCACCCCTGGTGATGATGAATAAAAATAGGTGTTCAATAAATTATGTGAAAATAAAAAATTGCCATTATTCCCACCGTTTTTAAGCTGCAAATTAAACAAATATATTTATATAGAGTATTCATATTCTATATTATATTCCTTTATTATAAATATATATAATTTATTATATATAATATACTATATATAATTTATTATATATAATATATATTTATAGAGTTAATATTCCATTATTAGTTTTGATATTAATTTTCTATTATCTATTAACTAGTTCTGACTTTTCTGATTTAAAGACAATTGAAGACCTTTGTGATAAAAGTACGAAATCAAGCTAATTTTTAAAAAGTAATTTTTGCTAATACGGTTAAGCTTTGTGATAAGTTGCAACATTTAAATATGATTAAGTCAAATTTCAATGATAGGAGAATGTTCTGATGTCATAAAAACTTTCAAATGAGGTAAAAAAACTTTCAACTCTCATTTCAATCAAACCTAATAGAACATACGTAAATTTTTTGCCTGTCAAAACTGACAAATTTTATCATATTTGTGAACTTTTAACACATGTTAATCTTCCAGAAGGTGTTACTTTTTATAGTAATATTCATGGCATAGATATAAATGGAAACACAAGTGACATTAAAGACATAGAAGACTTATTTCTTTGTAGTAATAATACATGTTGAAAATTACATTAGTTCAGTGTTTCTTTTCGGTGCTAAGCCTAGTAATAGGACAAAAAGTACTCCAGTCCTAGAAATAAATTACACATATCTTCTAAAAGATGAAGGTTTAAGATTTTAAAATAAGCAGATTTATTCATTATAATAATGTAAAGAGATAGCGATTATTAGAAATCTATTGGCATGATTTCAAGGTTAGTTTAAATATATTTAATTTTATATTATCCTTTATATTATCCTTTATCTCAGAATGAGTATTTTGTGAGTACTTTTAACAAATTTAACGTCTAAGGTCTTCAATTCACTAAGGTCTTCTATTCGACTTATAGCACTAAGGTCTTCAATTCGACTTTTAACACTAAGGTCTTCAATTCAACTTTTAACACTAAGGTCTTCAATTCGATTTTTAACACTAAGGTCTTCAATTCCACTTTTAACACTAAGATCTTCTATTCGACTTTTAACACTAAGGTCTTCTATTCGACTTTTAACACTAAGGTCTTCTATTCGACTTTTAACACTAAGGTCTTCTATTCGACTTTTAACACTAAGGTCTTCTATTCAACTTTTAACACTAAGGTCTTCTATTCGACTTTTAACACTAAGGTCTTCTATTCGACTTTTAACACTAAGGTCTTCTATTCGACTTTTAACACTAAGGTTTTCAATTCGATTTTTAACACTAAGGTCTTCAATTCCACTTTTAACACTAAGATCTTCTATTCGACTTTTAACACTAAGGTCTTCTATTTGACTTTTAACACTAAGGTCTTCTATTCAACTTTTAACACTAAGGTCTTCAATTTGACTTTTAGCACTTAGGTCTTCAATTCGACTTTGCAAGACTTTTACAAAATCTATGTTAACTTTATTGAGGCAAGTATTGATCCTTTTAAAATGCTTTAAAAAAGCCAAATGGACAATCTAAATCAAGCAAATCATTCTTGGATGTTTATCATCATTATTAAATTTTTCTTGCAAATACAGGCGATCACAGAATTTGTGAATTTTTGCTTTCTGGTCATCATTTCAAATTGATATCTTTTGCATCTTTTTAAAAATAATAATTAAAAAAAAAAAAAAAAAGATTTTTAATACAAAATAATACAACGATAATTAGGCCTGGACTATATACAAATTTGCAAGCAGTCTTCCTTTGGAAATTCCATTACATAATCAACAACCATTCCAAGTGCTTTATTGAACACCCAATACAAAGAAAAGTTTAATGAAAAAAAATTAGTACTGAATAGTAAGTAATTTATTCATTTTTTACTTTTAGGACTGAAGCAATCGTTTCTCGCCAGTACTACATTTACTTTTCTATATTTTTTTCTTCAAATTTTTGTCACTAGAATTTTCAACATCAAACCATCATGAATAAAAACAATAACTGTCATGAGTCACAAAAAAAAATAAAAATAAGAATAAAAATAAATGACAGCCAATTAGTCAAGTCAACGACATGATCAAACTATCAGAAACTACAGGAAAACATTGATTCAAAAAAAAAAAAAAATTGCAAACAAACTGTCATAAAATCATGAAACAACAAAAAAAAATATCATGAGACAATAAAAAATAATATCATTAAACAGCAAACTTGCATTAAACTAATAAATAACAATAAAAATAAGATTACAAGGGTTACTGTTTCTTCATAAGAAAGAGATATATTTTTTGTGATACTTTCATTACCAGTTGTTCCAGTCATTTGCAACACTGATCTGTATAAAAAACATGAAAGTAAAATTTAAAATAAAATATTAAAAGAAATAGAACTCTAAAACATATTAAAACTAAATGTAAATTTGTAAATAATTGTTGTTTAACTATTTATTATACTTTATAATTATTTATCTATAATATTTATACAATATAATACTATATAAAATATTATTTACATAACAGTCTAGGCAGGTTTATATAAATTAAATTTTTAAATGTATTTAGAGCAAAATGAAGCTGCAGAACAGTAGATATAATCAAAGGTTGTTGTTAGTTAATTTGTATTAATTACCAAAAATAAAAAACTAATAGCTTGATAGAAAATATTTATTTTAAATTTCAAAAAATGAAATCTTAAGTAAAACAAGAAAGTATGTTATACACTATTTTAATAATTTCTTAGTTATTTTCATAAATAAATTTATCATATATTTATATATAAAAATAGCATTATTTTAATAGCAAAATAGCAAAATTTTGTTTTTTGCTTTTTTTGCTATCAATACTATCAATACGATCCACCAATGGCATCATACATACCAAGTAATACAAATGATTGATATTTTTAATGTACACATTTAATGAGCAGATACTTTTACCAAGAAAAATACAAAATGTTGAAATTTTTATTAAACCAAATATTGCAGATAACACATTAAACAAAGCAAAAAAAGAAACAAACAAAAAAGTTCTTAAAATTTTTTATATTCTTTTTAAATGAAGCGAAATCTTTCTTACTTTAAGCATGCAAGGCGTGAGCGTATATTGTGGAGATCTTTTACAAAGCGATACTTTTCTTTAGTTCCGCATAATGCCAACAATAACTTTAGCGACAATATAAATAATAGGATTAATTTACATCATTAAGTCATTATTTCAAACTAACTTTTAAATTACATTTAAAAATAAAGGACATTCAAAAAAGCTTACCTTTCTAACTTGTCTTCTAACAAATGGTGCATGTGATATCATCATATACTAAAAAAATAGTCAGACTTGATACTTTTTTTTCTTATATAATAACAACAAAATTCAATGGATTTAAATAAGATCAAACTTGACTCAATACTTACTTCACATATCAATACTTTACTCAATACTTACCTCACACATAATAAACACCCAATCTTTACTAAAACAAATTTCTCTTGTATTAGAATCAATCAGTTTATGGATCTAAGAAAAAAAAAACTTTTAACTTGATTGAAATATTCTTGGGTTCACAACAGACATATCACTAGTCAGGAACATATATAAGAGAAAATTTCGATATCGGGTTGCAGTAATTAAATTACATTGATTGGAGTAATAAATTAAAAAAAATTAAATTTAATAAATAAATTTAAAAATTAGGCGTTATAAACTTATGTTTAATTTTTCATGTTTAATGTTAATGTTTAAAACCACCATTTAATTAATAACCAAAGGCCAGATTTTAAAAAATGAATTAAAACTTATTACAAAACTCAAAGAAAATGAACAAAATACGAAATTTATTAAAATAAACAAAATTTATAGATTATGGAATGTATAAAAAATTTGTTTTTCAAACGATTTAAAAAATATTCATTCAGAGTAATGCTAACTTTTGTTGGCAATTAAAAGATTTTAAAACTTTTTTTAATTGTTATTAAGTAATGAACAAAATTAAAATTTTCAGTCTTAATAACAATGTAGTAAATGTGCAAATTTTTGAATGGATGAACTTTTGATCTTTAGCTTACTACTTGATTTTGTTTTCAGAAGATTAAAATAAAAAGAAACAAAAACTTTTTCCGAAAGTCTCCGTTTCTCTTCATAATCTTTTCAACTTTAATAATAATAAAAATAATAATCACAATAACTTAAAGTTTCATCAAGTTTCAAAAAGTTATTACAAGTTTCATGAAGTTTTAGTTGTTTTAAAACTTCTATGTCTTTAGTGTTTAAAAAAATCCATAGTAAATATAACTATTTTAGTGTATGCCATTTTTTAATTCTATAAATTTATATATATATTTTAATCATTAGGTTTACTGCAATTATCTCTTTTATTTAAAAGGCACTTTAAAGCACTATGAAAGTTATTAAAATTTAGTAAAATATTAAATGGACAGAATTGCTAATATTTAAATTAAATAAAAATTAAAAATTGTTGGCGACGTTGCCAAAAAAAAATGGTATTCCTAAATAAACTCTGGGTTTGTCATAGATAATATAGGTACCAATATACTATGTGAGATGAAAGATGAAACCAAATGGATACAAAAAATATGTTGCAGTGTTATCTGCCTTGAGGTGGTAATGACTTGCAACTCTGTTTCTTGAGGTGGTAAAGACTTGCATTCTGTTTCTTGACTCAAAATGTGTAAAATAATTAATTACTCAATTAAATTAGTTAATATTAATAAATAATAAATTAACATTCCTATTTTAAATTTAAAAAAAAGTAACTGAAAGATTTAAGTAATTTCCAAACAAATAAAATGCCTATTTTAACCTTTGCTTAAAAAACATTTTTTAATTTACTGAACTGTTAAATTATTATTATTTTTAAACAGTTTTTTTTTTCAAAAATTAAATTAAAATTTAAAACTCAACACAAACCATGATAAAAATGATCAATTACAGGAAAATAAGTTAAACACAGTGTTACTAAAAAACATAAAAGGTACTCTAAAAACTAAAGGAATCCAAATGTTTGATTTTAAAAAATGGCCAAATGACTATTCTAAACAAATTTCATTTTATTTTAAAATTTTATTTTTTATTTAAAAATCTTGATTATCAAACTGTTTCACCATACCTGATAAGGCATTCTTAAAACCATTTCTGAGACAAGTTGAGAGAAAGATTCAAACAAATCCACAGCATGACTCTAAAATTTCAAATAAGAGAATGTGCAATAAAAATTATCATCATCACTATCCTCATTACTATCATCATCATCATCATCATCATCATCATCATCATCATCATCATCATCATCATCATCATCATCATCATCATCATCATCATCATCATCATCATCATCATCATCATCATCATCATCATCATCATCACCACCACCACCATCATCATATTACCTTAACATATTGTTCCATAAAAAAAGGCATCATATCTGGAGTGGGATGCAGTGCTTTAGCTTTTAATAACAAAGTTGTTTCAGTGGTGTTATCTTCCTGCAAAATAAAAATTATTAAAAATAAAAGTAAATAATGGTTAAAAACATTTGAAATGTCAAGTACTTTTAAAACATTTTTCTTTTAGAATACTAGCTGTACTTATTAAGATTACCTCAGTAGAACTTTGGGATTTCCAATATGAAAGAAGACTTTTCAATAAACACAAACAGTATTCAACTAAACCTTGCTCTTGCAATACTCCTGCAACGTATGCATCAAATGAAGAACTCTAAATTTAAAGCAAAAAAAGGAACTTGTGAAAAAACTAATTAGCATAATGCTTATTAGTTTAAAAAAAAAAAGTAAAGTAGAAGCAAACTTACAGTGAAACAAGCTTACTTATGGTTTATAGATTTTAGAATCTATTAAAGCATAACACTGTCAGGTAATTGTATAACAAGCTTAACAAACATCACTGTATTCAGAGTTATTTATTGTAAACAATGTATTCTAACAACTCTTAAAATATTTCAAACAACTCATATACATTTCAATCTATCAATTGATGATCTAAAAGATTTTTAGATTTAAGATAATACTTTACAATTACCACAAAAAGTTAATAAATTTAATAAATTGTTTGATTGATTTTTTTAATTAAATTTTTCAACTTCTCTACTTTATGAAGAATTAAAACTCAGAGGGTCATTAAAATCAATTAGGATACTCATTTTTTGTAATGTTTTTCTAAATTTTTGTTATATCTCTTTCTCAAGAAAACTTTGAAAGAATTTTAAAATTTAAGTATGTTGTATGTCCATGTAGAGCGAAGAAGCAAGTAACTGTATTTACTGAACGATTAAATCTGTTACATTTAAATTTTAATCCAACTATAAACCTTTTATCAAAAAGATAAACAAATAAAATATAATAAATAGAAATAAAATAAATATCAAATATAAAAAGCTGTAAGTGACCTGACTAAAATAGGCTATAATGCCATAACAAAGATAGATATTATAATGGACATATTTATATGGACATATATTATAATGGACATATTTATATGGACATATATTATAATGGACATATTTATATTGACATATATTATAATGGACATATTTATATGGACATAAAATGAATTTATGTTTTAGACTGATAAATACTGCAAAATAATAGAAATATAAAGATGTGAAATGAATATATAAAAAATTTATGATAATAGATATAAAGATAAATGTTATGTATCTCAGTATCAACCCTTATGTATTTCAGTATCAACCCTTATGTATCTCAGTATCAAACCTTATGTATCTCAGTATCAAACCTTATGTATCTCAGTATCAACTCCTATGTGTCTCAGTATCAACCCTTATGTATCTCAGTATCAAACATTCAATTATGTAATTGAGTGTTTCAGATTCTTTATAAGAAACTCATGAAAATATTAAACCAGTTAAACGTGTTGGCAAATTTGAATATTTTTGATCCTAAGCTTTTTATTAAATGGTTTAGGTCAATCTATTTATGATCTAGACATGCTTATGGAAAAACCTAACTTTAATAAGAAGCAGGTTGGCGACTAGGATAAGAAGTCAGATTGGCTTTTTTTGTCACTCATGGGGAGAGTGGGGATAGGAAAGCAAAAAAACATTTAAAAAAAAAAAAAAAAGTAATGTAAACTAATCTTATAAAAGACTTCAAATCAGTAAAATATATTTTTCTCCAAGTGTAAAAAAGTGAACACTCGTGATTTTATCCAATGGTCTTTTAATAATTACAATATTTTTATTCCAGCTTTATGGAAAAATTTATTAGGGAAAGCAATAGTTTATCATTAAAGATAAGTAACTTTATCTTAATCTAAGTTTATCCTAATGTAAATGATGCACATAAGAAAAGATTCATCTAAAGCAAAAAAAATAACAGGGTTTATGTTTCAGAATTATGCAATTGGAAATATCTTATTATGCAGTTAGCTTTGATCTCATTACCATATACATAGAAAATGAACCCTCAACTACTGTAATAATACTGTTAAGGTAAACCCCACTTTCTTTTTGAAACAATGTTTTTTTTTTCCACAAATGATAAAATTAATAATAAACTTGAAAAAAAACTTACCATATTTACAACATTTTCACCTTCATTTACTTGCTTATTAGCATTACACCGGGACATAAGAACACTTAAGAATCTCATTAACACAAGCTGCACCTCACTTGATGTTGTTCTTATTGGAGCATTTGAATCAGTCTAGTAGAAAAATAACAAAAAAACTTAGCTATTATTTACTAATAATAACAATAACAATAAATGTAATAAATTATAATTTATTGTAAATATTATAAAAGTTGAAATATTTTATTTATTCAAATATATTATAAATAAATTAATCACAATTACTTTCAAAATAAAAACAAGAACCAAATAAAAGAATTTGATAATAAAATACCTGAAGTTTTACATGAAGCGGATTTATACATGCTACTATGATCCTCCTTAAAGCGGCTTTATCTTCATCTCTCTCTACCATTAAATTTGAACATAACATTAACATGACCTAAAACATATGAACATATTATACATAACATATATTAACACAAATTTTTAACATATATTAACACAAACATTAATTTGTTTGAAAATCGTGAACACACAATTGATTTGAAACACGTGAATATATATTTAATTTAAAAATCATGTATTTAATTTTAAAGTATAAAAATATTTATATATTGGCTTTTTTTTTTTTTAAATTTAATTTAAAAATGTGTTTCATTAAAAAATATACCTGTAAAAAAGGAATAGCTTGTAAACCATCTAATTCCAAAAGGTAAGGGATTTTTGCTTCAAATATTTCTAATAATTGAGACCAGAGAGCACTAAACTTTATGCCTAAGCTCCCACCCTCCAAAAGATTAGGTCCTTCAATATAATTAGGTGACTCTGATATGAAACCTTGACCATCTACTTGATCTGAATGTAGTTCTTCAATATTGTTATCTAAATCAAAAAAATGCACAAATCTAGTTATTTCTACTTGCAAAAAAATATGTTGTAATAACACTATTGCATAGCACAAAGAGTTAAAAACTGTAGACATAAAAGAATTTATAATTCATAAAAATTTGATTGGTCACAAAAGATTTAACTGGTTACAAAAAAATTGAACACCCATAATGACACAATAGTTTATAAAAGAATTGATCACTCATAAAAACAAATTTAAAAAAAACAAAAAAACAACAACAAGTATTTAACTAGAATATAATAACTATAATAAAAATAAATAAACCAAAAAAAAAATTTTTCAGAAAAACCTCACAGCAGGATTTAAAGCCAATTTATCTATAAGTATTTATATAAGTATCTCTAGTATTTATCTAGCCTAATAAAAGGATAAATATCTTAGACAGATGACCTTATTAACAATTCTATGGATACTCTGCATCAACCCTCTGATCAAAATAGATTAAAGAAAAAAAATAAAAGTATTTTATTGATTTTCTATAGCATTACAACAAAATTATTGAGGATTGCACAGATGATTCTTGGAAACAAATTTTATCAAGATAAACTATTATGGCAATTGACTAGTGGTTGAGCTTTCCCCTCACAATCAAATAAAAAAAAATGCATCATTGGTCATTCCATGGTCATATTTCAATTGTAAAAAATAAAAAAAATAAACATCATGTACCCAACTGAACTGACTTTTTTTATGTGTACTTTTGGCCATGTATCTTGAAAATTTATGTGTAATTTTAGTCATGCAATCTTAAAAATTAGTGCTTCAGTGATGTAACTTTTATGCTATAGTTGCATCACTGAAACCACCGTTGTGACAGCTATAAAAATTAAAACGCAACTTGTTTCAAAAACTTAAAAACATTTAAATTCTTTTATTTTTTGTGTGACTTAATGGTGAAAAAAAACAGACGCTTGATGAAGTTTAATTAAATAGTCAATCTGAAATCAAAGTAGTGCTTATAAAAACTCTGTAGGGGAGACTGTTGCAACAATACTTAAAAACCTGCAACAATACTTAAAAACCTGCATTTATCTCTTACAACTAATTTTTTTTCAAATTTTTATCAAGGTTATAAAATAGATCTTAGTGACGTAGTAAACCAACATTGATAAATATAAAACTGTTGTTCCACAATAGTGAAACAAAATTGAAAAAAAAAAAAATGTTGTAACTTACCCCGCATGCAAACAGTGAACGGGGTAAGTTGCAACACAATACTTTAAAAGTATAAGCTTCACGGAATCGAAAGAAAAATTACAAGTTAATCTGTAACTTTTATTTGGCAACTAAAAATTATATTATTACATTAAAGTAAAGTAGTATTTTCATTGAGCTGCAATACTTTTATTATGCAAGACTTTACATACACCTAACTTGTTTAGTAAACTGATAATTTTATTGAAGGATTTCAGAGACTGAAGAAATTAAACAAGAAGGATTCTTATTTAAACTAATTTATTTTTACTTCAAAGTGTTTTTGAAAAAAAAGTATTCTCTTAGAAAATAAACAATGAACTATTTAGAAAAAATGCAAGAAAAGGTTTAGGGTATTTAAGTTCTGTTTTGAGAATATAAAAACGCAGTGACAATTTATTTGAATATGTTATAAAATAAAAAATAAATCAAAATGATAAAAAATAAAACATATGTTTAATAAAATTTCATAAAAACAAACAAAAATCAAACTTAAATTCAAGTTTTTTAAAACAACAACAACAACAACAACAAAAATCAACATTCATTAAAAAACAAATGAGTATTAAAGAAAAACAATTTAATTACATTACAATTCAACAATTAGATTTCTTAAATGTTTTTTGTTATTGTGTAGAAATATTAAGAGATATAAAAATCGACTTTAACAAAAACATCAATTACTTTAGAAATAACTAGAAAGTGTGTAAAATAAATATAACCCACATTTATTTCATGATTCAACTTACCCCATAGGCATCATGATCACTCTAATTATTGGATATAATTATTTACATTAAATAAATCTAACTTTTCAAATCTTATTGTATTTGAAAAGGATTTTTTTAACTTACCACTATTTTATTATGATTACAAATCTCAAAGTTTACTGTGAAACACAAAAAAACTTCGAAAACAAAAATTATAATTTTATATCAAAAAAACGTAATTATCAATAACTTTTGAAATTTTAAATTTATTACTGTTTATTATTATTTTTATAGCTGACGTGTTATAATTATAGTTATGTAATGTAAAAAATTTTTAGGAATAATATATAAAAACCATTATTTAAAAGGCATCGTTACAACTACCCCCGAACTCCCCTATATATCGCATACAAAGACGGTTTGATCTATCCTTGCTGCAGACAATGCTTAATCTTTTCTTTGTACCAAGTTATGTAATTGGTTTTTAAACATCCTTCATTTTGCTCAATTGATAGTGGTAACATTCAGTTGGTAGGGCAATTGATAGTGGTAACATTCAGTTGGTAGGGCAATTGGCACATAAACTATATGAGAGTAAGAGATAATCTGGAGATATATTCTATTTGTTTATGAAGTGAGATTTACAAAGATTATTTACCCAGTTTGTGTTATAAGCTTCACAATTGTGTTATATGCTTCACAATTAAATTTTGAGAATAAAGCATTGCATGTATTATAAGTTTTCATGAATTAGACAACAACAAGTTGAATGACAACAACAAGTTTTATTAGGCGTCTCTCAATATGTGAGTATTTAAACTTTAATTAGAAAATTAAATTAAATAAAAATGTAAAAATTTTATTTAAAAGATCAAAATCCAGCAAATTTATACTTTTTAAAGTTATATAAAAATGAAAATTAATAAATTGAAAATTTTAAAATATATTCTACCTTGAGCAACATTTCCTTCAAATCCCTGTTCACTAGTAGAAGTTTCAGCAATGTTTTTGTTTTCTTGCTGTGTCTCATCATTATTTTCTTCATCATTTTGCAAGCTCAATGCAAGAGCAATTTCCATCATAGCATTATCATCTTTAGAGTAAATATACATTTAAAACTTTTTATCATAACTAACAGAAAAAACAACTTTTTTATAGTTTAATATTTGTAAAACAGGATACTCATTATGGTGTCTAACTTGTTTTACTTATAGTAAAATGAACATTTTTATGATAATTAAAAATAAAAAACTATGCTATCATTTTACTGCCATCAAGCTTTGATAAGGCCTGAACTCTAGTAAACTAACACTTTGATAAGGCCTTAGCTTTAGAAAACTTATACAA